CAGTTAAGTAAAGGCTTTTCTGAAAAGGAGGGTTTTGAGTCTGGATTTGAAGGAGTTTAGAGAAGGTGACTCTCTAATATCCTTGGGCAAGGAGTTCCAGAGCTTGGTAGGCCTATAGGCACATACAAATGGTCAGATCACTGCACAGCGCAGTCCGAGAAATCCTGAAGTCAAAGTTCTCTATAACTCAACCTCCGGCTCCCAAAAATAATGATAGAAAACCCAGATCTGAGAATAGCATCTGTAGGCAGAACAACACCTCCCCCTACACAAAACACCTCTGTTTTTTCAACTGAATCCTACCGTTAGGTAAGGCAAACGTCCACCCAACCCCCGACTACAACTACGAGTTCTTGAACGGGGTTAAAACAAAAAAAACTGCTGCGTATATTAATGTTTTTAACGAACTCGCCAGCTCAGACACTGCTTTCTATAACACAACAAAAACAGTTCAAACACGAAAGCGAAATACAGAAGAAAACTTCCCAACTTAGCGAGCACAAAGCAGGGAGTCTGAACGACGCTCCGCCTAACCCGACGGCCAGCGATAACTCCGACACAATATTGCACCAATGGCTACATCAATAACGCGCGTTACATTGTAGAAAAGGTAGCTACAGAGTTATTACCGTTTGCAGAAAACCAAGATGGCAACTAATGTACTCTTCGGGGAAAAAAATAAAAACTGGACGATGAGGAAAAAAAAGTTTCAGTGCACTAAAAAAAAAACAAACAGGGCTCGCAGTGATAACTTACAGAAAGAGGACACGGAACATGACTTATGGTGAAGATGTTCTGCCTTAAACCTGTTTATCATTCGCAGTAACAATCTGTTTTCAACCGGTTGTCAAACGAAAAACAAAAGTCGTGCAATCCACAATATGAATTCAAAATATTTACTTACCAGATGTGCCAACGTGTGCGTTCTGACGTGTACAGTAACTTTTGCAATAAGCCGCCACACCAATTTGGCAGCTGTCTGCTAAGCCTAGCCACGCCGCAAGGTAATTAAATCCCCTGGAAGGCTACTCAAGCTGGACTTTACGTAGCTTCTCAATCCGACACGTAAGGAGTCTTTCTTGACTTTTCTGCGCTTTGCCTCCTCTACCGTGCATACGTGGCGACCCACACAGCGCTTGCTTTCACTGCGGTGTCAACGAGTACATTTTTTAAAGGGAAGTGACGTTTGATGTGTATATTTACCGGTGTGACCAGCCTAACATAACAGAGCTGTTTGTGGTCTTCCCTGGTTTTCTGTTTCATTAGTTTTCAGGCGTTTTCCCTGCGTTCCCTGTCTTTTTTCACCTGTTGCTAATGTTCACAGAGAGCTGGTCCAAACAATGCGCACTTCTGATACTGTGTGGCCCCCACACGTACAGTGCTTCCTTACGCGGTAATGCGGAGAACTAGGTGTACTAGAATCAAGTCTCAACAGTCGAGCACCGTTCTTTTTAGATTTGTCATCCTGTAGAAATAGACCAGTCTTTGTTCTGCCTCTCCACCCCTATTTTACCAGCTGCAGAGTTCCGTCCGCACGGCAAAAAAAAACTTAACTCTACTTGAGATTCCTGTAGTCATCACATGCTCGAAGTGTAACGAAAAATTAGAATCAAGTAAGGCAGGAAAAACCACAATGAGTGGTTTGTGCAAAAGGCTTGGTGTTTTCTATTGCTTTCACAGAAGAGCCCGGCATCTTTCTGTTGCGTTTTACATTCCCAGGATACACCACCCTGGATAAACATAAAATTATATATTTACACAACTGCAGTAATAAAACATTGGTTAAAATGATGTTAGGATTTTTAAATATTGTGAGATATGTAGGTTATATAATTATATACTGTTTATATACGTGCAGGTGGGTAACTGAAATGTCATGCAATTAATTCAGTATTCATGAACTTTAACAACAATGATTTAAATTGTGTGTCAATTAAAGGTAGAATTTGAGCTTAATTTATCACACATAATATCCTGTACTGCAGTGAGTAAATAAGATACAGTAGGAGCATCAAAACCGACTACATTTCATAAAGGGTCATTCAGCACATCTAGGTGCTTGAAGACAATAGTTGAGGTTTGTTCCATACTCCCACAACCCTTTGGGTAAAGAAATGCCCCATGTTACCAGTTTTAAAAGTTTTTCTTTGCATTGTGTTTCATGTTTCATTGGCAGTTCGGAATAAGTTCACTGGGTTTGCTTTGCCAATGTCTTCAAGGACTTTGAATACATAGTGCAGAGCACAGGGTCAGCCATTTATACAGCGCCCCTGGAGCAGCTGGGGTTAAGGGCCTTGCTCAGGGGCCCAACGGAGTAGGATTCCTCTACTGGCCACGGGATACGAACCGGCAACCTTCTAGCCACAGGCACAGGCACAGATCCTGAGCCACAGAGCCACAGCATGAAGCCATTAAGTGCATTTTGCTCATTCAGTAGTTCAGCAACTAAATTAATCTAAAATTATTTTGAATGGCTGACCCTGTGCTCTGACCCCAAGCTTCTCTCCCTGTCTGTGTGTCTCATGGAGAGCAAGCTGGAGTCTGCGAAGAGACAAATTCTTAATGCAAGAAATTGTAGATGGCTAATAAAGTGATATTATCTTATCTTACTTACTTTTAATGGAAACTGTGAATATATAGTTAAGAAGGCCAATCAACGTTTGTTTTTTAATTAAAAGATTAAAATCGCTTGGCTTTAGGCAGCACATCTATGAGGTGGCATATAACAGCCTGGTATACAGTGTTTTATCTTTTCATATAACAGGATGGTACCGCGCACCTGAGTGTGAGGTGTAGAAACAAGCTTTCTAGAATAGTTACTACTGCGGCGAAGATGAGTGGCAAACCACAGAAACAGCTGGGGGACATTTTTGATAGTGTGGCAAAAAGAATAATTAAAAATGCCTCTTATTCCTGGAATTCTCAGTTTGTAATGCTTCCACCTGGCCAATGTGTCAGAGCTGTTTGAAATCTGTACAGTATAAAAGGTTTTTCAGCCTATACTCCATACATTTGCATTATGATTAGTTTGATTTTATCTGTGAATGTATGCTTTTTATGTCTGATGTATTATTATTCTTTTATGTTTGTTGCATAATATTTTAATTTAACTGCATTATCTGTAACAGGGGAAACCTAAGACAAATTTCCACTTTTAGTGGACAATAAAGTTAATCTAATCTAGGAATTTTCTCTCATCTGATTCTGAGAGGAGCAAAGATGTTTGGGCTTCAACTACTCGTCTGGAGGTCCATCCAGAGAACCTGTTGGAAGATTAATCATCTTCTGAGTCCCAGTGCTCTTGCAGATTGCAGCATGTTTTCCTTCAGGATTTTTCTGTACTTAGCTTCATCCATTTTTCCATCTATCTTTATGTGTTTCCAGTCCCTGCCGCAGAGAAGCATCCCCAAAGCAGGATGCTGCCACCACCGTGCTTCACTGTAGGGATGGTGTTCTCAGTGTGATGTGCTGTGTTAGGTTTGTGCCAGACATGAAATTCAATTTTGGTTTCATCAGACCATAGAATTTTCCTCCAAATTGTTGAGTCTCTCACATTCTTTTGGGCAAACTCCAGCCGAGATGTGATATGAGTTTTTTTCAACAAAGATTTTCTTCTTGCCACTCTTCCATACAAGCCAGATTCATGAGGTGTGCGTGCTATTGTTGTCTCACACAGTTTCTCCCATCTCTGTCATGGAGGACTGTAACTCCTTCAGAGTTGCCGTAGGCCTCCTGGTGGCCTCCCTTACTACGGCTCTTCTTGGCTGGACACTCGGTTTTGGAGGACAGCCAGTTCTGGGCAAATTCACAGTTTTTTCCATATTTTCTCACCTTTTTAATGATGGACTTCACTGTGCTTCGGGGTATATTCAAAGTCTTGGAAATGTTCTTATATCCTTGCCCTGACTGGTATTTTTCAAGAACCTTGTCTCAGATCTGCTTGGAATGTTCCTTGGTCTTCATGGTGTAGTGTTTCCTCGGAAATGCACTAAGTGAGGAAGCTCCCAGACACAGGTGTGTTTATTCTGAAATCATGTGAAACACCACAGCTGCACACAGGTGGACTCCAGTCAAGTAATTCTGTGACTTGGAGAAGAGAGTTGGTGTCTTCAGAGGTAATGTAGGTGTGTCAAAGCAAGGAGGTGAATACTTATGTATTCAATTATTTTCTGTTTTTTATTTTTTATTAATTTAGTAAAATGTCTGGTTTTATTTTCACTTCGACATTATAGAGTACTTTGTGTTGTTGAGTGGCAAAACGTCTCAGTTAAATCCATCATGGTTCCATGCTGTAACCCAATAAAATGTGAAAAATTCCAAGGGGAGTATAGACTTTCTATGGGCACTGTACATGCATAGAAATTTCTTTGGAAGCTCATTACTCATTGTGTTGGTATGTATTCACACATACAGTATGTAACGGTTGTTGGAGGAAACACCTGCATCAGCAGTTTGTAACGAACACATTTCTAACAGCAGGTGTAAAGTGCCAGTGTTGATGAAAAAGCCATAGACCCTTCCTCATAACTCAAAGCTCAACTGTTTAGATTTCCATTTCTCTCAGCTACCCACGAGACTGTATACTCTTATACTGAACTACACAAACTACAGTTCTGTTTAGTTCAATCTCAGTTTGACTGTTACTCACATTTCTCTTTCCCATTGTGCTTTATTATAATTGAATGTATTCAGAATTTATTTTCGCACTGCTGTGTTAATATCTATGCAACAGTTATTCTATTTAAAAAGGGTTATTCGACAGTCTAATGCCAATGTTACAGAACGCTACAATATCATAACACAATCATTGTTTTGTAGTCAACACAGTGATTTCAAGTGACCATAAGTAACGGGGTGCGTTCATTTTATGTCAATATCAGAGTTCAACAGTTTTTGGGGGGATGCATATCCGATTGAGGCAACAGCTGCTTGACGTCTGCATTGAGCTCAACGGACTGTGCAATCACTCGAGATTCAAAGGAACCAGATTTTAATGCTGAAAGTGTATTTCTTTATATTAATTATGTGTAACGTGTTGTTTTACAGCATCATCCATGTTCTAATTTTGTTATCAAATAACATTATAATACAAATAATGAAATTACACCAACTACAAATCTGTGCATTTAAATACAGAAACGTGATATATTTAAAGTTTTACGGCCAATGAATTAGATATTCTGCCTTCTGAGTAAAATAAAGACACAGATGCACGACTTGCTGTTATTCCACCTTGGAATCCTTTATTTTTCTGTAGTTTTGCGGAACTGTAACTCTTTCTATTTTAAATAAGCGTTAAATAAGGAATATTGGGGGCATTTCGGCACACAGTAGTTAAAAATGCTCCGCTAGAGAGTGGTACTACTTTGTGGAGGGGAAATAAACACTAAAAAACTTGTTTTGCTCTTTTGAGCTTTAAGGGCCTTAAAATCACGTTTAAAATCCAAACACGATGAATTGTGCATTAGATTCGCCAAAGAACTGGTCTTTAAAAAAGGTGGATGTTGTGACCTATTTCCGGACGCTAAATTTCGCTGCTATGGTGACGTATAAAATAAAACAGGTGCAGCAGAGAGGAGACTTAGCGGAGCAAATAGTAGTTTAGTTCATGTTGTATGAATGGTGCCGCTTTAGAATTGATTTCTGTAAAAAAAAAAAAAGGAACTTCATCACCAATGATGTCTACAAGAACAGTAACAGGTAATTTTATTTTTAATATTTAAAGAATATCCCAAATTTACCTGATAGGCGTTCAAAAGACGATATTGGCGAGATTCTAGTGTTTGTATTCAATGTCTAGGCATCCATTTTGTAAATTCTTTAAAGGGTTTTCAGTTTAAAAGGCGTTTCTGCTGTAGTCTTACTCCCGGTTTTTCTCATTTTTGCCCACTGTGCGGAAAATGTATGCCATTAACCTGTATCGTGTTCGCATTTGGTTTCAAAGTGTAAATAACTGATCTGGATAACCAAAAATCTAAAGCATTATTTGCTAGAAATAAAGTTTGAGTTTTAAAGATATATTAGCAGTGCTATATTTCAAGTCTTACTATTTATTTTGTACTGTTGATGTAGGATAGCAAACACTGGTGTTTCTAAAAGCACAGCGTACAAATTAGCCTTATTTTCTGCGACAGTCCCACTTTCCGCCGGCAGGTGGCCACATGAAAGCGCTTATCTCACGGTGGCTGACGTCATAGTGGTGGAGTTGAGGTTCCTGTAGCTCTGCCGGAAGCCGTAGTTTCCCAATATGGTGGAGGGTGATGAGATGTACAGTATATATTGCAGGGTAGCAGCTTATTGTTGAATACTGCTGCTAGTAAATAGGTCTGAGCTTTTGCGGCAAGTAAGTCACAATGTTGTGATAATAAAACTTTTTGTTTACTACTTGCACCTCTATTAGCATGAGCTAAAAAACCTCACCTACTGTGCAATTGACTGATTGAGGGATTTATTGTATGCTATGGTAGTGAACCTGCAGTCAAGCACAGCTTTTCTGCTGCCATGAAGTGATTACTTTGGAACAAACAAATCATTCTGGTGCCTTTAATCCTCACAAGATGAAATATAAAGAAGCAACAGCAGCTTCAGCTCATCCCTGGGTGATATTGCTGTTCTTATTGGCTGATGCCCAAATGCACTGGTGTCCATCACCAGCTGTATGACTATCATTCAGGCACTGCATGGAACACAATCCAAATCGGAGGGAAGAATTGTGAGCAATTTAATAATGACAGTCAGTCATAAGTTCATCATAATTCCCTGTTTCTGGAGGTAATTGGTGCAGCTCTATGCTGCTCCTGCTGGGATTCGATCATACTCACTTGCGCACTGTATAGCTTCGCCATTGAAATGAATAATTCCTTACAGATTTCTAGACACTTTTCCAGTGTTTTTCTGGACACTCCGTTGAAAGCTCTTTACAGGTAATGGGGATTCCCCTCCACCAGTGTGCAGCCCCACCTGGATGATGAGATAGCAGCCAGAGTCCACCTGTACTCTCCCCACACACCAGCTCTCAGTGGGGAGGAGAGCAGAGTGATGAAGCCAGTTTAGAGATGGGGGTTATTAGGAGGCCATGATTGGTAAAGGGGATAATTTGTCCAGGACACCCTGTAAACACCCCTACTCTTTTCGAGAAACGCCCTGGGATTTTTAATAACCATGGAGAATCAGGACCTCAGTTTTACGTCTCATCGCAAGGGAGGCCAAGTCATACAAGCCTGGGGTGGAATTTCTTGAAAAGAGTAGGGGTGTTACCCCAGAGTCCTGACCAGATTTCCCATTGGCCTTTACCAATCACAGCCTCCTATTAATCCCCATCTCTGAACTGGCTTCATCACTCTGCTCTCCAGCAGCATACTGGCTGCCATCACATTAAAGCTGTCTTTAATACTATTTAAATTGGCTATTAGATGCTTTGGTAAAAAAAAAAATTAAAAAAGAGATGAGGTGGATGATTAAAGTAGTAATGAACACCTTCTTCAAGAATGTTTAAAGGGTCCCACTTAAAGCTGATGTCGTCTTCCACTGGAAGAAGGTACTGTATGCACAAACAATGCTAAGTTTGGTCCTATCTGTAATGCTCTAGAAATGCAGCAGGTGGCAGCCCTGTTCACTGTATTTTCTCAGTATTATAAGGAGATCCTGGTACTATATAGATAACCCTTTTTGTCTTGGTGACTTAATGATACAAATCGCATACACTCTATGATCTGTTAACCAGCTGCTCTGGTTAAAGAAAAAAATAAGTTCAGTTTAATTCTTGTTTCAAAAGGCATATCTTTTTTGCATTGCTGTTGTATTAGTTCAATATATGGCCAAGGTCATATAATTCACTATCTTTGCAAACAGTGCTGTTGGCGTTTTGTTAAAAACCTGTTGCCAGAAACCCCAAATTTTGTCATGTATATAAATTTATTACAGAACTTTGTGTAATAATTCTAATTGCTACTGCTACTTAAGTTGTTATATCCACTTGAGCTTTTATTTAAGTCTACATTAAGGAAGCTTTCTTTTGAGACAATATTTTACATATTTATACTTATTTAATCAAAATAAAGGGCATGTTAAATGCATCGGATGCAAAAATAAATATCTTCCATCAAAGGTATGCGGTTTGGTTGTGTACCAGTTCTGTTTAATGTACTGTTTATGCAGGTAAATTAATCAATCTGTTGTATCATGTTTGCTAACAGAACCCAAAACTGCAATATTTTTGCAGGAAATGCTTGTACATTTTGAATTCAATATTAATTTGCAGTCGCTGATTGCTAAGAATTGCTTGCCACCTCAGAAGGTTCCTTTAGGCATAGAATGCATGTGTAGGCTGCAGAGAACCAAGTAGAGGTTTGTTCCTTGCTGAAAAGAGAAGGGAAGAAAAACAATGTTTCGGCCGTGGAGCCTTCTTCAGGTGATGAAGGCTTCACAGCCAAAACATTGTTTTCTTCTCTTAAAGCATGAAACAAACCTTTATTTGTATAGTTACTCAGAGGAAACCCACACCAACATGGGGAGAACATACAAACTCCACAGAGGTAGAACCCCACAACTGGAATTGAACTAAGGGCCCCAGCACAACGAGGCAGGAATGCTAGCCACTGCACCACCATGCCTCCTGCGCTGGAATACATAAATTAACTGTTACTCTGCTGAAAGGAGTCAGCTAGCTATAAAATTGCCTTGAGGAATTCCTTTGTATTCTCAATTAAGCACTGATCTTTTTGTATTTGGCATCAACTTCAATAATAAACAATCTGAAATTCACAAGTAAAATGATCCGATTATATTTTCAAGTTTAATATATCAGGCAGTACAGCACTGTTACATTAACTAATATCTTGTGATAGAGAAAAAAGGATAACAGTCAACTTTGCTCTCATGAAGCAGGGGTTTCATTTCCATGGAAACCTGCCTAGCCTGTCTGAAAAATTTGGGAGAGGCGACTTCTGAGGGCAAGTTGCCAGCAGTTCCTCAAAATAGAATTTCAGGGAAAACACACATTATGCTTGGCAGTGACCAGAGGGTTAAATAGGGTTTTGTCTGCCTGTTTTTTTGTATGGCATTGTGCTTGTAGAGTGTTTTTATTAGCTCCTTCAAACCTATTAAAGTAGATGATGCTCACAACACACTGATTACTTTGAAATGAAATAATTTCTGGTGTGGATTAAGGTATAACTTTTCAGAGCTCTGATTGTAGCAACATCCTTGTTAACTTGATAAAACAAGTATTAGTTGCAGAAAATAAGTTTTTATTTGGACCTCTCCTAATGAAGTCATCCCATCATCTGAGTTTTTTTTTTTTTAGTGTTATGACCAGAAAGATTTTGTTTCCTCTTGAAGCACTTGAATTTAAAAGGATTAAAGTCCACCTTCAGGGAACAAGGCTAAGGGTTTTGCCAAACCCTAAGCACTGGAGCAGGCTGTGCATTGAAGGCCAGCTATAATTAGATTACTGTAACTAAAATGAGAAGCTCACTCCTGGTGGTCTCTGGGTGTCACAGGCCACAAGGAATTGTATTGGTCGGATTTAGGGAAGAAAAAAAGGGCGAGAACAGTTTGACTGAATGGAAAAGGAGGAGGGGGGGAGTCGATCTCAAAATCCTTTTAATCTTTTCTCAATTCTTCAGGGATTTATTTGTCATTAAGTAACAATCAAGGGATTAGAGAAGCATCAAACAGCATAATTACATACAAGACGTTTTTCTCTCTTACCATCATAAACCCCACCTCATAATGGCTGTGTCGGGCTCTTTGACATGCAACATCTATAACTTTACAATAACTTTGTGTGGCTTTTTGTGATCACAGCATTGGATTTGGTCTATGGCAATATTTTGGTTTGAATGGGCTTCATTCTTTTGTGGTCTCCAAGCTTACTGTCTCTGAAAGGTCATGTGCTCTTAGCTGTTGCTATGCATCAGGGCACTGGAGATTTAAACTTTGCGTGGCCCATGCTAAACTAATTTGAGTCAATTTGTCTACATCATTTCAACAATCGTTCAGTGCATCTCGAGCTGCACATACTGCATTGCATGATAAAAGCCCACTGAGCAGCTGCTGGCTGCTCATTCCTCTGTGCTGTTGTGGTTGTTAGTTCCTCACCATGGTTTCTCCATATCCTAGTGACAGTGTTAGTTTTTCCTCTCCTGAGTTAAGCCTGTTCCTGGCTAGTTAAGTCTTTCTTTAGAGGGGACAGCTTCTATACAACTTTCAGCTGTAAGTCTGACCTTTTAAAAATGGTGTGGGTGGACATTAGCATACATTGTTTCCCCTCTAATCTTTTACCTTTATTGGCCCTAAAAGCTTAAGAAAAGTGGGACACTGATTGTTAAGCATTGTTTTAAGGATACTGCTGAAATGCACGGTTTTATTTGACCAGGTATGGCTCTATATGCACACCTGCTTGAGCCAACTGCATGCAGTTAGGAGTGTTCATTTAACTCTGCTGCAGAATTAAGTCCAGTGACCATATCTGTGGCTGACTAGAGCGGTAGAGCAACACTGCTGCCCCAGCAAGATTTTTACTTTGGACGCGAGGAACTGGAGGACAGCTGTGCCTTGGAGTCAAAAAGCCACATGACCTCCATAACAAGTGCTAACGAATATTAGAAAGGTTAGGACCAATGTGCCAAACGGCATACTTAGGTTATGACCATTGAAATAACACTAAATATTCACATTTATATATGAATAGAAATAAATTTAAAGAGATAAGTAGTTATGCCTGACTTTTACCAGTGGTGGTCTTTACTTCACTCTTGAGACGAGGGCGATTTCCTTTTACAGAATCTGCATTCTGTTGCGTAGTTTATTGCTCTCTTGTAGGTGTTTTGTTATTCAGGGTTCAGCGCCAGCAGGATGAGACGTTTATTCTCTTCTAATTGGAAGGGACTGATTTTCGCTTTCATTGTTCGGCTCAGTGAAAGTCCAAGGGGGTAGAGCTGGGAGCAGCCAAGCTGATTTAACCCTTCGAGCACAACGTCTCAAGTGTTCAGGACAGATGTGACCCATCCCCCGGGAGCACGTCCGTCCACGGAGCTCAGAGTGCTCACAGATTGCCTGGAACCGACAGCCTTATTCTTAACCTCATCTTTTTATATGACAAGTTGCGTAAAATCTTGCATGCTGGGTGACGGCACGACGGCGGGAAGGAGCTGGTTGTCGTTGGACAGAAGTGAAAAACAAACAACTGCTGACATTAACCAACTCTTATTGCAAAGTGTGAAGGAATCTCGTATCTCAGTGGAAACGTTCCACTTTTAAAAGCTGAAGACAATACTTGACATTTGGTGCTCACACCACAGCCTGCATTGTGAAACGTCCAGCGGGTTTGGGATTATCCTGTAACTCCCGTATTTCTAACTCATGACACTGAAGTAGACGTGGGTAAAAGAAAAGCATTTTGATGAACTGTGTGATTTTGTACAGTACGTTAGCTCAGTGGTGTCCTGGTTTGACGAAGGTGAAAGGTATTTAACCACAATTAGGATTCTAGAAGCAAGGATTGAAAAGGACAGACCAAAGTGCATTGCAGCTTTAAGTCTTTTTAGGATATTTTATTTCATTTGCATATTTTTTTTTTACATCAACAAGGCACAGTCAAAGAAGCGCTGAGTGAAGCACGCCGAAGTACTGCAGCCATCAAAGCGTTCCTCACAGCGGGCCTTGGAGGACTCAAAAGGGATTTTTAGAGTGTTTTTTTTTTTTTTAATTCTTGATGACTTGTATTTCTCGCCGTTTGCTAAAGTTTCTGGGGCAAGGAGGAAGGTTCTCTCCAGAAGCCGTTGCTCGTTTTTTTTTTTTCTTCGTCCTTGTCTTAGGGGATGCACCTCCCTCTACCACTGACACAGCTGCCATACTTTTATTTTTCTTGCTTTTCTCCTCTTGCCAGTTTCACTTGCTTCTCCTGGAAGCCGCGTGAGGCCACAGAAAAGATCCTGGGTGTTAAGCGCTGCCCTCCCTCTTTCTCTTGGTCTGCCTTTATTGAATTCCGCCTCCACGTCATTTATCTTTCCAAGTTTTTCTTTCCCTCCTTCTTCTTCTTTAGCTTATTGAGGCCTTTGAGGGGCCGTTCCTTTCTTTCCCAGCTGCATTTGTTGACACACAGTCAATCTGGGCTCCTGTTCCTCCCCCTTCTCATTCAGAGCTTTCCCTCTCCCCACTCCCTGACCATAAAGTATCTACAGCTGTGGGGTTTGTATTAGCATAGCGGCAGTGAAAGCCACTAAAGGGGGAAACTAAATATATTACCGCCATTACCTTTTGTGTGGAGGTGACAGTTTTAAAACATTTCGGCCTTTCACGGGCCAAAGGGAGAGAAACAAAGCGGAGAGCTATAATTTTATTGTAACTGCTTTTTAAATATGGGTCGGGTAGCTATTGAGGGGAAAGGAGTGGAAAAGTTCAAGGCCTGAAACACTGTGTGAACCCCAAAGGGTTGGAAGCCGCAAGGCTGAAAAAACAAAACTCGCCCTGCGGAAAGAAGGAAAGAGCACTGAGCATGTGGTAAATACAGATCCGCTGTAGTGTCAATCACCCAGGTGACTCTCACATTTGCATTTAGCCATTAATTACCATTTGACTGCAACCAAGGTATTTCAAATGTTTATTCACAACTCCATTTTTTCAGTAAGTCTGGAAAATATTAAGGAGTGAATAAAAACGCACCACTTCAGCATGGATGTGACTCCATCAAATCTTTGGTTTGTCTACTTCCACATTCTACAGTATTTTACGAAATTAAGATTTATACATGAATGCCACCCCCCACCCCCCATCCCCCCCTCCATCCACAATAGTATGGGCCTCTCAAAAAGAAGACTTTTGTATCGCTGCTTGTGTTACAAGTCATGTTCCAGCTCAGCTCCTCCTACAAACAAGTGCTGGTTCAGAGCACCGCAACCATGATTTGCATTTTCCAGGTGCTTTTTATAACCAAATAGATGTTCTTTAGAAGCTTATTCAATCCCCCTTTTGAAAGGGCTGAAATCCCAGCAGAATGAAGTCCATCCTCCTTGTGCCTGTTTCAAAGGGGGCGATAAGTCACACCCTAACCGCTATTGAGCTGTAGTCGTTTTGCCTGGGATTTCTAAGCCCATAGAAAAAAATAACTCTAATTTCTAGAGGGCTGTTATATATTCTCATATGCTTTCAGCATGCTAGCTGGTTTACATTCTGGGCTTAGATATGTTATAGCAGCCTTCAAGTTCTTGGTGATGTTTTGATGGCTTTTGACAAAACTTACACTTGGGCAGCTATCTCTACAGTCTTGGCTTTCTGCACTGTGGATCACTCTCTGTTATTAAAAAAAAAAAGGCTGCATAACATTGGTCTCAATATGAACTCCCTTTTAGGATTTCAGTGTTGCTTACAAACCTATATACAGTGTGTAAAATCTCACATTGTGTTGCCTAACCTCCAGTAATTATGGGTGTACCCCAAGTTTCCATCCTGGGTTCTACTCTTTTATCTGTATTTACAGTATTGGGTCAGGCTTGAGGAGACTTTCACTGCTGACTGTACCATCTTATCTTCACAGACACACTGTATCATCAGTAAAAATCACCAACTTGCAGCTTAGTTTCACTTTATCTCAAATTTAGCAGGTGTCTGGGAATTGCGTCTTCTGCTAAACTGGACAAATTAAATCAATGCTGTTCAACAAAAATAATTTTCACCCAAAGGAACAATCACAAACTTTCTAATTTAAGGAAGGGGCAGCAGGAGCAAGCCAGTGTTTATGAGCATCTAGAGTTCAGTTTGGAGAGGGCTTTGACTTTCTAAACATTAAACTCTCCATATTGGTGGTGTTTTTTATGGAGAATTCTATAAATGTTGAATTAAAACTACTGTACTGTATATCTTATACCATTCAGCCACAAGGTTCATTACTGGTGCTTCATGGTTTGCTTTGATTAATCAGCATTGTCTTCACATTAGTCAATTGTAATGCTGTTTTAAATTAACTTACAGATCTTTAATAGATAAAATGCCTTCTGATCTTAATTTTTTGCAGTTCTTTCTACCATCTTATATTTAAGATGTAGTTTTTTTTTATCGAACAGAACCTCCCACGATCAACTGCACTCTTGGGCATTAAGTGTCCAGGTAAGCTTTATCAGAATTTCAAAAGATAATTACTGTACTCCTCCACAATATTGAATTGTCATTTGTCTTGCGATTCCCCTTTCCTGCTACAACTCGTTGTCTGCCACCCTTCAGGCTCCATGGCACTCGGACAGGAGTATGGGCATTGAATCAGGAGCTGGGCCTCCTTCGCAGACGAGCCTGCGTGTTCCTAGCGGGTCACGGGCTGCTATTTGCGGGAAAGACAGGGGAGGCCTGGTCTCATCAATAACAACCCGACTTCGTGGGGTTGTGCCAACTTTAAGAAATCTTTAAAAAAAATTAATAGCCTTATCAGCCTCGATACAATGTTTTCTTCTTGGATTACTTAGCCTTTGGCAAAACTGAAAACTATCATTTGATCACTGCTACATTTACCCGATCGCCTCAAATTAACATACAGGAAGAATATGCAGCTACTCAGCATCTGACTGGCCACATTAAGATTGACACATTGGTGTATACGTGTTCAAAGTGACCTTTTCTTTCTATTTTAAACTTTTTTATAATTAAAAATAAGATACCCCTAAAACGTAAGAGTGCTTTTGCATTTGGTTGGAACAAATAAGCTTCTATCACAGGCTCTCAACACTAAAGTACAACTTATTGGTCTTCATTTTGAAAAATAATGTACATACCAAGCTGTTCTGTTACTAGGCTCGAAGATGAGCAGCAGCACGTGGAGCTCAGAAAGCAGCCCAGTTTCACAGCTGTGCTCCAGCAAGCCCACAAGGAAGTGTCCTGCAAACACAAGAGCGAAAGAACACAGATCTGGGATCGTGGCAGCAGCTTCGAAGACTTCAGATGACAAGAGGAGAGCCCGTGAGGATGATCGGCAGAATCACAAGATGGAGCCAGCCAAGTCCTTAGAAACAGCCTTGGTCAGAAACCTGGGCCAGCTGACTTTTACTGAGAAGCAGAACAGGTAACAATGGAAATAATTTGAGTAAATTCACTGGCAAGTTTAAGCCTGGTGTCTTATGCATGGATGGACTTGTAGCTTGGATTCATTCATATGCATTATACTTTTTAGCACATTAGAAAATACATGTATTTAGTTATACACTCCTGATTTGGAATCAGTAAATTATGTGTTTTTCACATTGTCTGGTAACTACAAACCCCATCCCCACAGGGGCGAATGAGGAAGTGTGGTTAGATGTTAGCCTTCTAGTTCTTGTCTTTGAGCACAGCCCAGTCCCAGAGGTTCACTCACCGATAGCGCTGTGAGCCTCGCATATAGAACAGGGATCTCGCCTGAGTTTCATAAATAAATGCACTTTGGCTAATTTCAACATGGAAAAATCTTGGATAATCTGAGAAAATGAATGCATGGTTTCTTTTGAATTTTCCTAATGGAGAAATGGCATGGTTCATGTTAGACAGTTCTTTTACCTGTTAAAACAATGGCTCAGTTTCCGTGTTACACTCAGATTTCAACATATACAGTAAGTAAACATGTTGTTTGCATAAGAAGCTGACCTTGTTACTACTACAGTGGGATTGTAATACACAAAAAGCAGAGGAGAGCATTTGGTTTCTTCTAGTTTATTGGGTAACTAATTGATCCAAAGATCCTATGAAGTCTTTCCTTGAAAGAAGTGAAGAACAAGTTGGTAAGATGTTCCATACTCCCACAACCAATTGTGTAAAGACATTCCACTTCTTCTCAGTTTTTTAAAATTTGTGCTTGGCTTTCAAAATATTTTGGCACATAATTTGCACTTGTGTCCTCTGGTTTGTGTTTGTTAATTCACATTAAAGTACAGTCGTGTTGGCCCTTCCTTTCAGTTGCCAAGAAGTTACAGGAGCAGCTGATCCTCCTCTGTAGATGTTTAACATTGCGTTTCTCTGGACTGTCCTGAACCCCATGTGGGGGTTAACAGCCGAGACAGTGAATCGGGGAGACTGCTCTCTCCCCACAGCACAGTGATGTGACGATCTCAGTGTCTGGTCCTGCTCCGTCAGGAGTGCAAGACCCCCGAGAGGTAGCGGAGTTTCGGCACCTAAACACTCTGCAGCTGCAAACCCCCGCAGAGCTCCCAGCCAGCTGAGAAACCTGGAGGACGTCGCTAGACTGATACAGCAGAGACCTTGCAGGAATATCATTGTGGTGGCCGGTGCTGGGATCAGCACTGCAAGTGGCATACCTGACTTCAGGTTAGTGGGGACGTAGTCTGTGCTTGTCCGTGACTGCAGAATGACATCGGGTCCTCGGTCAATTGATCTATTCCAAAAGGAAATGTTTCATGGATAAACTGATCTAAATGATCTATTCCATGTGGACTGGGCAAAATTATTCTCTTTAGCAATGCGTGTAGAGAGCTTTATTCTACCCGTGGTGAGGTGAGGACTTTACCCACTGCCGTCTGTTTGACATGAACTGCTTGTGAGTGTGAAGGGGAAAAAATTGGTATTTTAAACTGAAAGCCTGAGACCGGTGTTTCCTCCCTCTGTATTACCGGGGAAATGTTTTCGTTCCCAAAGACGGATGATAAAGGGACTGTCATTGCTAAAGCATAAAGCCTCGCAAAAAATGTGAAACAATTAAACACAAAGCTAAAGATCTGCACGGTGTAGTATTGTACTACTTCTTCATTCTCCTGTATTGTGTTCATCCCTGCTAGGACCCCAGAATCCGGGCTGTATGCGAATTTACAGAAGTACAACATCCCTTATCCAGAAGCCATTTTTGACATTGACTACTTCACCTGTGATCCTCAGCCTTTCTTCTCTCTGGCCAAAGAACTCTACCCTGGATGCTACCGGCCCAACTATGTCCACTACTTTGTGAGGATGCTGCATGAGAAAGGGTTGCTGCTGAGAATGTACACCCAGAACATCGATGGCTTGGAGAGAAGTGAGAATAAAGCATGTTTTTTTTTCCATTTAAATTTGCTGGCATCCTCACTTGAGGTATTTCGTAACAAGGTGTTAAAAATGAGCACAGTACGAATGCTTACGTAGGAGTGGTTTTACAAAGTAAATCTATTTACAGTAATGCAGCAATTCAGTAACAGAAACAGTACAGTACAAGTCACAGAAATGGCTATACTGAACTGAATCGTACTGAGATACTGAGAACTCTGGAAGTCTCTCTTTCTGAAACTACAATGCACAACATTTTGTGATTTATGAGATCTAACTGTGTATACTGGTGGCTCGTGAGGAGGTGCCAGGTGATGATCAGATGGTATGAAAAAGTAACAGTAATAAAATGGGTACTTGATACTGTAGTAAAGGGCTGGGCTTGTCATTTGTGCTTCTTTGTTACTGTACATCCTGATATAGCAACAGTCAGTACTGAGACCATGTGCAGTTTTTGGTTTTTAATGGTAGTACTGCATGTAAGGCACTTAATTCTAAATCTGAATGATTTGAATTGAGTTCTCTTTATACTTTTCTGAAATGATTCGTTTTCTCATCCCGATCTACCCATCCATTGGAAGCTGGTTTAGCCTGGTGAAGTTAGCAAAGCCAACATCCCACACCAAAGGGAACCAAAGAATTGCATTTAAATGATCACCAGCGCTCGTTTGTCTTTGTTGTTCGGCACAGTTTCTGGGATCCCAGAAGAGAAGCTTGTGGAGGCTCATGGGACATTCTCCTCTGCGTCCTGTCATTTGTGCTACACAAAATTCCCAGTGACCGAAGCAAAGGTGAAAAGGAAGAGAAAGGAACCGTTCAAGCCTTCTAATACACAGTTAGAAAATACCAGTGTTTCATTTGAGTCTCACATCGTGAGGCTAGCTGCAAACATTCTGTGTTAAATATTCTGCGGAGCGCTGCTCTGTGGCTCAGGATCTGCTCCTGTGACTGGAAGGTTGCCGGTTCGTATCCCGCGGCCGGTAGAGGAATCCTACTCCACTGGGCCCCTGAGCAAGGCCCTTAACCACAGCTGCTCCAGGGGCCCTGTATAAATGGCTGACCCTGCGCTCTGACCCCCAGCTTCTCTCTCCCCGTCTGTTTTTCTCATGGAGAGCAAGCTGGGGTATGCAAAAAGACAAATTCCTAATGCAAGAAATTGTATATGGCCAATAAAGTGGTCTTATCTTAAATATGGTAAATTGAATATCTTACACAGCTGATTTCCAAGCACTATGGCGAATGTAGACCAAAAACATGATTGATTACATTTTCCTAACTAAATGTTTTTCTGGGATTTAGAAAGACGAGACTTGTGCTAGGATTATGGCGTTGAAATTAGCTCTCTGAAGTTTCAGTTCATTTTCCTTTACCTTTTTTACATGATGCAATGAACTTCTGTAACTACCCCCTCACACACACGATCACCTGTTTTGTTCAGCCAGTTCTTTTGTTTTGTGCTTCAGAAACTGATATTGAGCAACAAGGTCCCAAGATGCAAAAATTGTCAAGGAACGGTAAAACCGGATGTTGTGTTTTTTGGAGAAGATCTGCCCAAAAAATTCTTCTTGCACACCAAAGATTTTCCCAAAGCTGATTTACTTATCATAATGGGAACATCCCTACAGGTGAGATGTTTTATTGAAGAGGTACAAAATTTGTTAAGTGTCAAAATAGCCAAAAAGGGTTTATAGTTATCATGGCAATACGCTGATTATACAGCAGTATGTATTAAGTTATTAATGTTCTGGTCTGATTATGCTGTGTAAGGTAACCAGGACATGATAAAATGTGTTTAAAAATTTTAAAGAATCCTCCAATGAAACTTGTACTTAATACTTAAAGCGATTTTCCTCCTGCAGATTGAACCTTTTGCCAGCATTGTCAATACTGTGAAGGCCACTGTACCTCGTCTCCTGCTGAATCGAGATCCAATAGGTCCGTTTCAGAAGATCCCATTAAAGAGAACCGACTTCATGGAGCTGGGAGACCTGGTGGACGGTGTAAAAATGTTTGCTCGGCATCTAGGATGGCATGAGGAGATTGAAGACCTGATCAGACGCCACGAATGTGTGGTAAGCTCAACCATTTCCCTCCCATGCTCTTGAGCACAAGTAACCACTTCAGGCAAACAGAAATGCGCTTTCAGTATCAAGCTTTGGTTGACTTAATTATAAATATCAGTCATCTGCTTCTTGTAATATTTTTCTAGTTTTATGTCCTAAACCTTCTTTTTTTTAGAAGAGGTCATTGACCTAGTTGAAAAGGCAAGCTGCACCATTAATACAAAAATCGAAATCGAGTCCAAGGAGGAGGGGTGCTCTGCTGTTGGAAATGGATGTTTTCAGAGCAAATTTCACAGAGAGCTGCCGTTTTGCGTGTTCACAAATCATTCGAAATGTATCGAGTTAACAGAACAACCAGAGTGTAAAACAGCATCACCCCTTGAAAGACAAAAATAGATCGAAGAGGATCTCGGCATCCCATTTTACCTCCAGGATATATCAGTATGTAGACATGAGCATACAGGAAGAGTTAAATTGGAATAACGGGAAAAGATCTGCATGTGTAGGATATTATAGTGATACTTATTTTTGTTTTTTTACATACACATTTTTACAAGGAACTTTAAAACCGGTTTTATTTTTACATACGTAGGTGACTAATGGCCACCCGTCTGTGAGTAGCAGAGTGTCCCCCAAGGTGCCCCCTCAAGCTGTGCCCTCGGCACAGGTGAAGCCGAAGAGTGCCAACCCTGGAAAGGAGCGAACGAAGAGCACATCCAGGCCGGCTGCTGTGCAGAGAAGGAAGAAAACGGCTCCGGAAGACAGTTCTTCCTCTGACTCGGACACTGAAAGCACTAGCAGCTCAGGCCTCAGTAATTAAGCTGCAAGTTTCACATTTTTATACCCAAGTAGGTCACTGTCTGGCCTAGAGAGTGTTGAAATTTTATCAGAGTCTCTATTTTTCTATTCTTCTGAACAGTGAGCTACTGTCCTCACTGTCCTTTATTGTTAATTATGACTTTTTCCTTTATCAAGATTAACATTTTTCTTGTTTTGTTTTTTTGGTGCAATGTCATTATCATCTGCTTTTTTTAAAAAGTAACATTATTAAAGACCCTGTTCTTAAACAACTTATGCGTTTTCTTTTAAAGGCCATTATGAAGTGTGATTGTGCTTTAAATCTCCTGACTTTATGCAGTTGTGTTAGTTTTTCCTGCCATCGGATGGGGAGAAAAAAATCTGATTTACTAATGCCATTTATAAAACGAACTGTTCTTAGCATCTAAAATGTGTTCATAATTGGACAATTTAAAGCTTCTTCAAAGTGTCACCTGCCATTCTATTGAATTAATTGATGGCACGGGGACAACTGTTTTTCAGTTATAATGACGGAACTAATATTATTATTATTATTATTATTTGCATGTTTAAATGAAAATTGGAATACTTGCTCAACCCGATTTGCGGATTAAAAAAACCCGCCTGGAAGCAAAGTGCATGAAACTGTAATAAGGGATCCAGAACAGGCGCAGCTCTGAATGGGCAGCAGCACATTTGCATGGAAAGCGTGACCTCCCAAGTGTGCAGTTCCTGCTGTGTGTGTTTTCACAGGGCCTCCAGGCACAAAGGGTGGCTTCTTACAGAACTGTAAGAGATGTTTCTATTTCAGAACAAAGGATGGACTATCCCAGTGCTGACAGCCGACCGGCAGAGAGGCACTGATGTGTACTTTCAGAGAAAATTGGCTATCTTAAAGATCAGGAAGGTTTAATACCTAGAGCGACGAAGGCTTGACAGAAGATGGAGCATGCATGGGACCCAGTAATTTTCATTTGCAGAACCCCTTCCTATGACTGTATGCATTCAAAATATTGAAGCCGTGTCCTGGAGGGGGAAAAAAAAAATAGAAAAATGGGAGTAACAATTTAAACAGTACCCTTCTTCCTGTCAGTGTCCTGGGGCAGGGTGCGTCTTGGATGAAAGTGGTCTTTAGTAAAAGCCTTGGTGCCTTCACACAATTGCCATGGCTCAGAGTTGCACCGAATCCTGAGCCCTTCCTGCAGGATGGCACTTCTGCGATGCATATAAAAGGTACTGGGACGCCCTCGCCTGACATCACAAGCTGGTTAAGGCTCAATAAGGAAAACTTGGCCTCTCCCTCTGTGTATTCACAGCTTTGCACCATTAAATACTTTGTCTTTCCACATACAAAATACACTGTCGGTTAACAAATATTCTTCAGTCAAGATGGGGAGGTTGGTTAATGAAATAATAATAGCTTTGTGTCAACACTTCTAACCTAGAATACATGTGAATTGAAAGTAGCCCAGTTGTTTTTAAATAAAATAGTTTGGGTCTTAAAACTGGGGAAAAAAGTTACATTTTACTACACTTGAATGTTTTCTTCTCCTTGGATAGGTCACCATTCCTTGAGGAATTGGGGGGGGGGGGTAATTCCCATTGGTGAAGTCTGCTCAGATGTGGACTCACAAGAATGGCATCTAAAGAGCTCTTTAGGGGGCGCTGGTGAGCACCCCTGTGAGACACATGAAAAACGGGACACCCAGCCCTCACAGACCCTGGGGGGAACACCCAAGAGAAGGCCACAAGACCACAAGAGTGGACAACTGGGACACGGCCAGTCATGTATAGCTGTGTTCCAAAATGGGAGACAGGTTTTCAGATCAGTTAATAGAACATAAGAAGACCAATCACATTGGCATGTTGACATCTGGCTGTCAGTGTGTGTGTGTTGAATCAGGAAGAGGAGGTAATGCAAACAGTTCTTTAGTATAATTTCTTTAGTAAAATTGGTGCCCTCACACAATTGCTGTGTTCCAAAAGTTATACAGAGCCCTAGGCCCTTCCTCCAGGACTATTGTGGGAGGCCGATACTTTGGATTTTTTTTCAACGGAATGCAAAGTTATCAGTAAGTCTCAATTTATTCTCTAGAGTACACAGACACAGGTAATTGTTTTTTCATTTGAAATTGGCAATTTAGCGTTTAAATCTGCAAACAGATGAAGGAGGGCACTGGCTTTTGGGTTTGTAAAGACTTTGAACATATGGGTTTGGATCGATCCATCTCACACTTGTACCAGCTTCAAAACTGTAGTACAATATTATTGTCTTCATTGCATCAACAGAAGCTATGGGTTTTATTTCAGTCTTAGTGCAAGTATCCTACCATTTTGTTAATCATGGCAATAGCAGAGCAGCCTTGTTTTGAATTCTCCTCTAAAATGAGGAGTTTTTAAATTTGCTTTTCAAATCAGCCACGTCAAGTTTTTAACTCTTTCTTAGTGTGTTGCTATTGGTGTTGCTTCCAACAGCAGGCTTGTAATTTCTGTGAAATCCACTCACTGCTCTGTTTTTGTTTAGAAGCAAAGATGTACAACAGCCCCTGGCAAAGTATTTGTAAATTCCCATACAGAATGAGAGTTAATTTTAGGATTAATTTCTAAACTCCTTCAAAACCTCAGAGATGGTTAAGGTATCTTCAGCCTGAAGTAAGAGTTAAAACGAGTGCTTAGCACAAGTGATTCTTGGGACTACATCAGGCATGACCATACATCATTATTAGAAATAGGTTGGTCAAGGTAATGTGCTGCACCAAATGTACAGAAACGTTTCTGTATAAGTTTGGTTACCAAAGTGTCGGTTTGCTTATGGTCGGCCGATGACACAAGTCCTGTCCTCCAGAGACAACTGGATACCCGAACCGTTGCAAGGGCAGTGAAGAGATCGGTATGAAGAGTCCCTGAATGTGCAGAGCTGAGGGTTACCATATCACAGTAGTGTTTGTCCCAGACGGTCCCCGCAGACAAAGCGTGTCCTGCAAAGTAAGCAGCAGCTTCCCGACTTTTCTTATCCTCAGTATTAAGGGTAAGGAGTGTGCTGCTCCAGTGTCCCCCCCCTCCAGCTTCTTAGGGGTCTGATGATAATGGGGTGTTCTAACTGTTCCGTGAACCACTGGTGTCCTGTGAATGGGGGTACCATCCCCATTATCATCAGATTCCAAGGAAGATTCCCCTCCCATTAGGATAGAAGTGCTTCACCATCGGATGAACATGATCTCTCAGAATGGCTTTGCATTTATTGCCATTTACCTGCCCCTTTAAGAGGTTGAGTGGACCTAAACTATGCCAGGAAAATGCACTGCACACCATAAACAGAGCCACGAGAACCCTTCACCAGGGGAAACAAGCACTCTTTCTGTGTGCGCCACACTCGTCTGCTTGCCGAGAACAGGGTGAAGGATGACTCGTATAACAATTTGACGTTTTTCCCCCACAGCCCTTTAATTGCAAAAGTGCATTTGTTTAGGAGTAATAAGGGGTTTATGCACTGCAATCTGACCGTAGCATCCCTCTGTGAAGTTTTCAACAGGCTGAGCTTGATGAAACTGCCTGTTCATGCTTAAGCTTGACATTTGCAATCAGCTGATTCAAAGCTGGTTGTCTGTTTTGCCTTGCGTCTTGATCCAACATGCAGACATCATAGCTGAGAAGTATGTTCTCTCTTCCAGGGCGGCCCTTAGCTGATGATGTCTTTCTGTCACACTGTCATGCCGACATCACCTCAGCCACTGTTCCTTGTGAAACATTAGCAGGTTGAGTAGTCGTCATCACTAAAATCAAATCTAATTGATTAACTTATCTATTCAAATTACAAACATGCACAAAGTAATTTATCCCTCCGTGTTCAGTGTACTGTTTAATCCAGCAGATCAGTCCAGTTTTTATTTGCACAACAATTTACCACTACATTTATAAGCATTATAAAGGCACACATATTTAATACTTGCTTTTTGATTAATTCAAGACAAGCGCCTTGATTTTATGACAAAATATCTTTATAGGAAGAGAACTGACTGTATATGGAAGTGCAGCAGAATAGTCGAAAAGAAAAAAAAACAATTTAAGAGAAAAAGGTTGAATTTGAATTGTACAGACTTACGGTATATATTAATTGCAGCATATTCAATTTCTGTACAATATTTTTTTGTAAAAAACATCTTTTGAAGCAACAGGAAAACATTTTTATACAGAGAAGTACAAAATTTTAAAAAGGAAAAAGAGAAACATTTATGGATCATCTCATGCAACAAGAAAAACCCCTGGCAACAACAGAGAAAACCTGTGATCCTTATGTATTAATTGAAAATATGTATTCAAGCAGTACATGGTACCAGATCTTAGCAGAGCAGCAAGGGTGTAACTAAAACATGAAATAAAGCACCCTGGAGCACATACAAGATCAGAAAATACAATAATATGAAAGGTGGACAATCCTATTGGCCCTGACACTGTACAAATCTTAAAAGTACTGGTCATTAGAGGTGGATTTAAGAACAGCATCATACTTGGTCACTTGATGAATATAACCGTGATATAATATTAATTGTATAAAATGAATTATATTAATCATTCCTAAATGATTTAATTTCCTTTGGGAACATGGAGTTTAAATGTTGTTTTTCCATTTAATATTTGCTCTTATACTGATGGGAGGGTCAGCTAAATTTCTTGCTGTACCTATAGTATATGTCAACAAAGAAAATGTTACCAGCAAAATAACTTAAACAAAGGTAGCAATTAATCCCAGCAAAGCTTTCTCTTCCAAAGACCCCGATGTTTTATTTCAAAATCTGTACTGCTTCTTCAGAGCAATTTTAACACCTGTGTGTCCTCCTGCCGAGTATCGGTCCACCATCAGAGAGAAGTAAAGATATCTGACCTGGATTCCCCTCTAGGATTTTTTTCAATCTCCGTTTTTAACACTTCACCACGGGCAGCAGACCTGTCAGAAGAAAAGCTGCTGGCAGGTTCGCAGCCTGAAAGCTGCTGCAGGCTCTTGCTGTCGTGCTGAAGATACCTGGTGCTAAGCCAGGCTTGGCAGTGGAGCAGGGGGCGTGCTAGTCTGAATCCGAGCTGCAGCTGTCCGCACTGCACTGCTGTACAGCTTCCGCCAGCGGCGCCAACGTGCCATCCCGTCTCACTCCCATTGGCCTAATGATCTGCTGTCTGCAGGTGAAAGGGGAGAATGAAGAGAGAGAGAGAGAAACATGAAAGCAATGCACTGCATTATCAAATGCAAGCGAAATCGCCCTGTCAGGTCTCTTTGTTATCTTTTTCCGAACCAAATCACTGAACGAACTACAAGAAAACAACTAAACAGAAACGCAAATGGACAGGTCACAATAAAAATGAAAGCGAAAGCTCAGACCAACAAAGGCTGAAGATGTTCAAAGCCAATTAATACAGCCTGTGAAAGAAAGTCAAACCCCTTTTGAATCCTGGAAAGGGTGCAGACCTCTTGTTTTTCATAATGGTGTTTTTATTTGTTTTTCCACTCTGTGCTCAATCAATTCACTGTTGTGTTTTCACCTGCCCTTGTGCTCCACTCCACACTGGGTAATGTATTCTGATTTTTCATCTAAAGAAACCAATTATTCTGTGAAAGACACCTTTTCTACATCCGCTTTAGCAGTGCTTCTGGACTGGCAGATTCACTTCAAGCCTGCTGTCCTTACCCCTACCGTTACTATTGTTCACAGCAGTTTAATTACAGGATCATTGGTCATTTTAATCTCTTCAAAGCTCTCGCTGCCCCTCAAAGGATAATCCAATTATATCTGCTCTGCCAGCCAGTGGCTCATCTAAAGGTGATTAATCAGTGAATTATCCAATCAAAGGTTTTAAACCACATGGGCATTCATTATCTGACAGCTTAAAATCATAATTACGCACAATTCACTTTCTTTAAAATCAGAACATTTTAAAGGGAAATTAAGCTCGTCCCGAACACATTAAAATTAACAGACCAAAGACATATGGAAAAATCTCAGTGTTGTCGACAAGTGCCTTGGCAAACATACCCATATCCTACCAATGATATCACATCTTCATGAATTACATGCAAGGTATTTTTTTCAAATTAAATGTTTCTATTCAAAACTGTGATGTTCAAACTGGACATTGTTATATAGTATATGAAGGCAGCTGAATGTGAGCAAAACCTGCTAAGAAGATAAAGCTACATAAATATTCCAAGTTAGTACTTGGTGGAAGACCTTGGTCAGGAGTTACCGCTACGAATCATTTTGTACAGGTCTCGACCAGCTTTGCACAGTGGGATGGTGTAATTTTGTTCATTCTTCCCAACAAAATGGCTCCAATTCTAACAAGAATCCTGGGGATCGTTGATGGACTACAATCTTAAAGTCTCACCATAAATGCTCAATTGAATTTGGGCCAGAACCTTGACTGGATCACTGAAGAACTCTGAGTCTTTTGTCCGACCATTTCAGTGTGGCTCTGGTCTCGCATCGTTGTTCTGCAAAAACTGAGATTTCTGACTCACTTTTGGGTTTTTGGCTGATTTAAGCAGGTCATGTTGAATCTACACGATCTGCCTGTATTTAATACCATCCATTTTCATCTCTGTCTTTGGGATCTTCCCTGTGCCTGCTGATGAGAAGAATCCCCATACCATGATCCTATCACCACCAATCATGACTTTATGGATGGTGTTGACTGGGTAATGTGTTCTGTTCGACTTAAAACGTGCTTTCAAAAATTACTTTTTGTCTCTTCCTACCACAAAAGAACCTCTGCCAAATTATATCTCAAACAGGATTTAAGTTGAGTCTTTTTCAGCAAGGGCTCTTTTCTTTCCCATATAGGCCAGCTTTTCTATTGGGATAAGGTTACTGAGAAGAGAGATTCTGAATATAGAGGTCCTGTTTTGAAGTGTGAGTGCAGGTTCAGACCACAACTAAATGTAGAAACTTTCCTGGGGCACGAATACTAATTCAAGGAAAAAAATCTTGGCAGGTAATTTTTTTCATAAAACCTATTTAAGCGACACCTTGGATAGAATTTTTTTATACGAGTTATCTGTCACGCGCACAGCTTGCTGTAATTACTATAAGCAATAAACTCATGGGCCTGTTAAGGTGGCTGAGCATAACCAATTAGTAAAACTCCCATGATTTAGGCAACCAGCTGTATATATTTGTATTTGTTTTGCACACTGACATCAAACACAACACCCCTTACCAATTTGTATTAGAAATTATCCCATTACAAACAAGGCATTCTGCTGAAGGGCCCTCAGCAGGGAAGGAGTCACAATTAAGCAGTTGGCAAAGTGCATTCCTGTCTGTACTTGCAGGTCTCCCAAGAGTTTCTAGAGAACACACTACGCACGATTCATCTGCAGACTGTCATTTAGCTTGATGACTACTCCAAATAAAAGAAAAAAACCCTTCTCTTATTATCAAGGAATCTGGTTCTGTCCCGCGCTGCTGACGGCGGGCCCTACACCGACACGTGCTGTTCATTACGGCAGCCGGACCGAATAATGGTCAGAGGAAGAGATTCTCCAATCGTTGGCCGCTTGTTCTGCTCAAGATCCATTCACCTCACTCTAATTGAGTAGCGGTAATAAATTCTTGTCCTTTCATGCACCATTGTTTTGTTTCACACTTCAATAAAAGAAAAAAGGGATGTGTGTGGGGGGAGGTAAAGATATAGGAAAAAAAAGAAAAGAAATGCACCCACTGTGTGTACCAATTACCCGATAATTAATGCTGTATTTTTAATGAGAGCAGCCGGTGTGCTGGTGGGTTCTTTTGCTTACTCGTTTCATTGACTTTTGTTCAATGCGTTATAATACTCTGGCTGCAATAATTGGAGCAGGCTGACAGAGACGTGGATTCCTGGTTTAATGAACAGGTTGGCAAGGAACACACTCATCTCACCCTCAATTAAACCTTACCTAATCAGCTGTACACGCATTCACAATGATTTTGCTTGGTTTCTTCCATAAGGTTAGCAAAGACAAGTATGTGTTTGCTTTTAAAAAAGGGACTAATAGCAAAGGGAAAGCATTATATAATGCTGGAAGTTGGGGGGGTCAAGAAAATCCTTTATATTTGGTTTATACTGTTTCCGTAAATTACTTAGTTTGTGTTTGTGGTGTTTTACAACACATACAGTACTGGGCAACAAAGTAAGCTGATTACATTATACTGTTTAATATAAACATCTTGAAAACAATATTAGGTAACGTAAATCTGAAGAGCTTTTTTTAAAAAAATGATAATTCGGCAGTGAGGTTCTGTAAATAACGACAACATGAAATACACACTGCTTTTACATTCCTGTTGGCAGACACAACCAGCTGTGTGTTGGAAGGTATGTCCACTTTGAACAGGATGAAAAATATAAAAAAATATCAAGTACACTTGTATAACATAAGCTATAGTCCAAAGTTTCCCAATCCTGGGCCTTAAGAGCCCTTAATCGGCCCAGCGAAATTAATAGGCCACCCCTCAAAAAACAGTTATTAACAATTTTGTACTCGCCACAAAAGCCATTTGATTTGCCCAATTAACAAGTAAAAAGATCACTGGATATAAAAATCACAAGGGTCACACCTGACCATTCTTAACTTAAGGACTTAAAACACACGTGAGCTTGATCATTTTGGTAAGCTAATCGGTTTAATAATGAATGATTTAAGAGTGACCCATAATATCTACCAGTTGCTGGCCATCACTGCTCCAGATGTTACAATATAAATGTTGTGCCCATATCAAAACCCAGTAGACAAGATTCTCTTAATCTGTAATCTTCCTTATGTTCTTAATAAAGCATCAAACTATACCTGGAGAGCTTGTCAAACATGTTAACCAGTTTTTGGGCTTCATATTCTTTCTGTTCTTCAGTCATTTCTTCAATCGGATTTGGCATTGGCTCTTCAACATGTCCAGTGATAGGATTGATGCTGTAAGAGATTGTAATGAAAAAAGAAAAACAAGTTTTTTTTAAATACACAATTATGTAAAAAAATAAACAGAATATTAATGCTAGTGTTACCTTTGTAACAATATGTTACATTTTCTTTTAATCACTAATCAGGAGGGATTAGGAAAAGGGAGTTTGGCCATTTCTATTTTTGTAGCACGCAAAATGCTGTACTAGACATCCTTCCATCTGTATAACATTTTCCATGTAGCAGGTTCAAAATGGTACTGGAAAAACCTCTGCCTTTTAATCTAAAGGTTTAATTTGCTTAGTTGAATCTCGTTATCCATCAGAAACATCAGAGCTGCTATTGCAACACGGCTGCAAAGCAACGTGCAAATTAAAACACGAAACGCAAGCCCTTCGTTCGCCACATCCTCCTCTTCCTCGTTTTCCAAAGACCCTCAGCCACAACTTAAAAGTTGATCAGGGATTGTAAGGGATGGAAAATGTTATAAAAATGAAAGGAAATGATTATGTAAGCAACTTGAAGAATCCCCTGCAGTAACGAGTCTAATGCACATGGTGTATGTTAAAGCACGTTCTTACAAAGGCTTGGCGGATTTATACTCCTCGGTATCGGAGTCTTCCTCGTCAGAGTACTGGCCCTCCCCTCTGCCTCCAGCCAGCAGCCCCCTGGCAGCTAGCAGCCCTGCCGCGTTGCCGTATCCAGTGTACTTCAGCAGGTTGTCAACTGAAACAACACAAAACCCCTGAGAACATCCCGCCGGCTCGGCAACGATCAGTGCTGCTCGCATCTGAGGCACGTCTGGGCGACTTTCATGACGTCACCTCAGCGTTCTTCTTCATGACAAACATTTAATTAGTCCTTCTAATTATCAAACACTTCTACAGGGTGAATTTCTGTTTTGCTCCACGGCTGTATTGTCATCTCCTCATTACTGTTCTTGAGTATGCGAAAGCCATGATGCAGATGAACTGGCTTGTACCAACGTGTCATTTTAAGGCAACAAACAAGAGAAGGAATTCTGGCCCACCTACAGGTTGTTTTGTGAAAGAAACCAGGGTATTGGCTTCAACAAGATGGCTGGAAAGTTTTTTTTTAATCAAAATCTCACAATCCTTCGGGTAAATCAGTTCAAAAGCACTTCCACATTGTGTCCTCTGGTGTATGTTTCCCTCTCCATTCTAAAGAGATCCACTGGGTTGACTGCCTATGCATTTGTGGATTTTGAATACTGGGATCAAATTTCCTGGTAGTCTTCTGATCAACAGAGAAGGGTGCTGTTTTCTTATGAATGTTTTCAACAATATACTACAAAATAACAATATATAATATACAAACATTTTGTTGGCCTTCCCCACATTGACTAAAAGATTAAATTGGTTTGTCAGCATGAACACCTAGCTCTCTCATTTTGATTGATTTTTGATTTCTTCCATCCTCACTGCAAAAGGAAAAGCTTTGTTGCTTTCATTTTGAGTAGAACAAAATCAAATATGAAAAATGAGTGCACAATACAGACTGCTCCAGTTATCTCACAAGACACACATGCACAAGGACCCACCACTTTCTTTGCAGAGTACAAACAGGAATTCTGCGGCGCTCTGCTTCACTCCAGTATCAACATGCGTCATAAGTCGCACTAATTTGTTCCGCACAGTAGTTCCTACTTCGGGACGGTTCTTAACATCTTTCAGAGGAGGTAGAACCTGAGGATTTGTGGCAAGGAGGAGAAAACAAGAAAAAATATCTGCACAAATATTTCAGGTGTTGTGCATGTGTGTACATTACACAAAAATGCATCTTGTACTGTATAATTAAAATGTCTATTAACACTTCTAGACAGCACACTAGAGGATAATATAATTAAAATAGACAAACATTTCTCTCTATTCTATTCATTCTTAGATTATAACATATGACAGTAAATACCATCTTTTTGTATCGGAAGTTGCTTGTTCTTGGTCAAGCCTGTGGACTGGAATCTACAGGGCTGTCTTACACCCTGTGTGGAACACGAGGACACGACAGGGTGCTTGCATACACACAATACTTAGAGACACCAGTCTGGCCCAAGTGCTACCTGTCATATCGGTGACAGTTAAAATACTGACTGATTTCAGAAATAAACACAAATTAAAACACAAATCTCAGGCACACAAAATAATGTGTCTTTTATCTATACAAGTAATAATCAAAAGTCATCTATCACGTTTCAAGTGATGTCAGCGAATGGGCTTGCCAAGAAAATAAGGGGAGATTCAGGCAGAAAAAACCTTACCTGGGATTTAATATATTTCCTAATCTCTCTGTGGTGCCTGGAGCTCTCTGTCAAAAGACTCAGAACTGGAGTTAGTCCTTCTTTGTAGTTTGAGCCCTAATTGGAGAAAGCAACACGTATTAACATACTTAAATATAAATGATAAATTGATTAATTAACCTTTATTGCCCGTAAGGGAATTTGTCTCACACATCAAGAGCTCATAACATATAACATATGACACTTGTGCAATATAGCATCACGATGATACAATACCAAACATACTATACAATCTACATTAAACAACATTGCTCAGTCATCTCAATCCAATATAAATATACAAGTACAAGTAACAGCTGAGTTTTATAAAGCTGCCCCTGAATATAAAAAAATCTGTTTTTAAAGTCTGATCAACATGCACTTTTAATTATATCAATTGCTACATATTGAGCATCACCTGTGAGCTAAAAATGAAGGCGCAGTGAATAATAAAACAAAAATCCTAAAATAGGATTTCTAGGATGTGTTTTCATAAACTCTTAACGATGCTGTTTAGTGTCAACAGTCTAAGCATTGCTGTGTAAAGGTTATGTTTACTAATCAATGAATTATTGAGGGACAACCTATAAAGCCTAAAAAGGCATCAGCCACTATGTTTTCTAGTTTACTCAGAAACAGGATGAGAAAAGGAATGTTGGCAGTGATATTCTAAACCTATAATCCACGTTATTGTACAACAAAGATGGATGAAGTTACAAAATATGAAAAAACAGTTCAACTACATAAAAGCACTTTAGATGTAGTGATCATTAGATCCAGTTCTAAGAAAAGTATGGAATTGTTTTTAGTGACTTACTGTACCTTGTCTATCCGCTTTTCCATAAAGTCTAATAAAACCTGGATCACATCCATGTTCTTTCCATTGTACTCTTCCAGTCCTCCCTGGCTTTGCACATTGATCAGCACATCCAAGCAGGAGACAGGAATGTTGCTCAGCAGATTAATGGCATGACTAAAAAAAAAGACAGAAATGCAAAGTATCAAGACTCAACTATTAAACTAAAGACATACTACATTCAGACCTGCTCTAGAGGTTAATATGTGGGCCTATTAGGTACCTTTATAACACAGAGCTCCGTTGGCAATAAAGGATAATAAAGTTATACTCATCCAGCACCACAAAACTGTTTACTCCTGGGAAATGTCATGACAAAGTAGGGCATATGATGGAAACAAAGGTCACATGGTTGAACTGCAGCCACAGATGTGATCTCAAGGCACACACCAACAAGCACACGGGGGAAAAAACAGACTTGGACAATTAATCTAGCTGGCCTGTCTTTCCTATGTGAGAGAAACCGGGAGCATGGGAGAACATGTAAACCCCAACTGAACCCGGAACTAAAAAGTAATACTACGGACCTCATGCCACCCCTATAAAAGTTACAACCCAATTCAGACTATAGGTCAACTAGATGCACTGCTCTTCAGTAAAAAAATCGTCCTTTTAAAGTTTTATAGAATAGCCCAAATAGTTCAAATCAAACCAGACACCACATGACATGAATCACAACGTGACACATCAAGGACAGATTCTTGTTTTCTATCACTGCTTTGATGTCACTGTCTAATCCACCTTTCACCGATGACAGTTCACCATTTGAGACAATATTTACTATTACTTGCTTACATATTACTTTTTCTTACAGATGTCTAGTGTGCTTGTATCATTTTGTGTGCCATTACTTCTTAATGAATTCAATTGTAATGTAAGAAAATGTATTCTTTATGATACTTGAGATTTTATAGGTTCTTTCTCTAAACAACATAATACAGCCTCAGGCATGCTCCACATGTGGGGTGGAGTTTTATTGGTGTATTTGGTTGTTGTTTCATCTGTGAGGCTCAGTCATATAATTAGCCGGCTGTTACTAGGTTTCCCTTGGCTTGCAGCGTGACGGCATCTCTTGGGACCCACATAGGCAACCAACAAGCTTGCAATGCCTCTGGAACAGGGGAACGATGTCCACACACATCCACTGACTATGGTACTAGGGTCCACAGCTGCAGAGCCAGGTCACTAAATACCAGGCGACTTCAGATGAGATGGGTGGACAACAGATTTCAAGATTTTAAAAAGAAAAGCATTAAAAAAAAGAACTGAATTAAACCAACACCTTGTACCCAAAATAGACCCAAACACTCTTAACAGGCAGTTTCTTTTTTCAGACCACAAAAAATAGGGTTTAAACATTATAGCTCTGTCAATCTCATGATTCATCAATTCCATCAGAAATTTGTAACAGAAATTAAAAGGGCATGTGGATTGGAATAAAAAAAAACGCTATTTTGACATCTGACCTTTGCAATTTAAAGGCTTTTTATAAATATGGAAACCAAAGTCTCAAATTAAAAGAAAAACTCAAAGATGAATTTTCTGGATCACTGTGTTTGAGTTATGTCTTTCAGTAGAGGGGGTTTAGCCTACTGATCTGTGTCTCCCCTTTGACAGTTCTATTTGTGCCAGAAGAGAGTAGGAAATTCTTCAGCTACCAAAGAGACCGAGACTATAGCCAGGTTTACACAATGGAATTAGCCTGCATTCCACAGGGGGTGAGGATACAGAATACATCAGGGCCCATTTATCCTTGCTGAAGATATCATTAATCATCTGCAGATGACACCCTTCCTCTTAGCTCTCAGACTCCAACCCATATGCTGAATCAGGAAAACGCAAAGCCTTTTAGGCACACACTAGCAGATCAAACTAAGACAACCTTTGATTTGTTCAAAATTACATTTGCTGAATTTCATAAAATAGTTAATCAGTTCATTTGCCCATTAGTGCAAAATATAATGGGAGCAGCAGACACACGTGTGTAATATTGTTTTTTTATTATGTCATAATCTGACTAAAATTCTGGCATGCCAATTAGGTGGATTCCAAAACATTTAAATGTATGCTAAATGCAATCTGTGTAATGCAATAATAGGACAAAACTTTCTTTTAAATTTGAGAAATACATCATTTGCTATGAACAGTTTTTTGGTTACACTGATTTCCTCACAGATTGAAAGGGCTTTGATGGACTATCAATAAAGCTCTTGCACAGACTTTTTTAAACAGCAATGTTAATTTTTGCAGTTTAACGTTTTTTCCAATTAGTGGATGTTAAATCTTAGGCACCGTTACATAATGCACAAATTTACATAAAGTGCGCCAACCTACTGGCTACTGTAGTAAGACTCATGGTGTAAGATTTCCTTACGTTTTCTTGATTTCCTTGTGCAAGACAACAGCACACTTGTGTGCTGAACAGATAAACAGGAATTCCTGTCAGTGGAGCTGCAGCCCATTCTTGGCACAGAAACCCTTTGCAATGCAGAGGCAGTGGATACAGGACCTTTGGCACAGCGAGGCAAAGTCACTCCTGGAAAATCTTGGCGAACAAACTCATTTGCTTACTCAAAACAGGGCCATGGTCCAATTCAAAGCCACATCAAAGCACAATTGGTATCAAAAGCCAGTGACAGGATCCTCATAACCAACTTACAAGGTATCTCTTGTATAAATCCTGTGCCAGGTATATGGTAGGTGATGGACATTGTTACAGCTCAAAGGTAGTTTTGAATTCTCCACATGAATTATATTTATCTTTGGTAGAAACTTTTACTTGCCAAAATTAATTTAGAAACAGTGGAATGCTCTACAATGTGTAACTACAAAATACTGCGGACAAGCACTAAAGTGATATAGTTTAATCTAAGACACATACAAAGGATTTGTGCTTCAAAATGAATATCACCCATAAACTCAACAAATTCATACACCGTATTATTGAAATTTCTTCCTATAGATCTTGGGCTGGCAAGTGCCTGTTCACTTGTCTCCAGCCCTAGATGCTTCACGAATCTCATATATGTTCAACAGGGCTCACATCTGGCAACTGGGGCATCCACAGCATAACCGTCATATGCCCATCTTGCATAAAAGCCACTGCGACACAAACAACATGAGGATGGGTGTTGTCCTCCTGGAACAACGTCACGTTGGGATCAGTCTGCAGGACCGTCCAGCTGCCATCACTCATCTCACTTGGACTCCCCATTGATCCTGGCGAGGTGACCCATGCTACCCCAGATTGTGGCTTATCACTGGCATTAGTTCAGATGTCTAGCCTCCAATATACCACTGTCATGGAAGCACTGGACTCATAACAAGGGCATATTGGCTCTCATTTTCATCAGGCTTGTCACTGAGTAAGTTCAATCGCCTCACCACTGGTGCCGAATCTAATCCTTTGCTAAGGAGCGACTTAGTGGTTATGGAACAGTGAGAGTCACTTATATGTATTCCAGCCATGAAGAGCAAATTAATCCAAAATGCTGCCATAAACATTTATGTAAATCAATACTTAAAATCCATAAACGTTTTCTGAAGATAAACAAACACAAAGTGAAAAGTTACTTTTGTTGTTCAGTATGTATTTAAAGTGCTAAATTCTATTAAAATTTGAACAATGAGAACATGGGAGGCATTAAAGAAAAAGAGAGAGGCTACACTGGCCAAAACCCATAGTTATCTTTCTTTTTCTAAGTACCAGTCATGTAGATGAGCCAAATAGCATTCTCTTGTGTGCAGCATTTCTTATGTTCCTTTAGAGCAGGCTCCCTATCACCTCTACATTAATAACTTACCATTCATTCAACAACACAACGGTTAAAGGTCATATTTACTGTAACATTAAAGCTACCTGACTATAACATGACAAGGACAGAAATAAGATAACTTTACTATGAAGGTTATGAAATTATGAAACACACATCTTTACTATTAACTGATGTCACTTACCCACACTTTCTAGCAAACCTGAAATTGATTCTGTAATGCAACTTAAGAAGTCATGACAACCTGCAGTAAATCATACTGTATAGCTTGCTGCATTCATTCTGATTAGATTGCTCCTTAAACTATTCAGGCCCGATAGTTTAGACCTTCAAGCCCTAGACATGTACTTCACATACTAGTAGATACCCCATCATGCTGGAGCCGCATGCACAGTGAAGGCCATATTCTGAAACTGTATGTCACGGAAAAGTATGCCAACCTGTGTGCTTCCTCTGTTTTGTCCTCTGTCTGAGTCTTAATCATCAAAAGATGGCGCATGATGGCAGTGATGAGGCGAAGCTGGTGGGCACCGTCCTATCAAATGAAGGATGTACAACAATGTGATCCGGGCGTCACGCAAAAAAGTGGGGTAATGCTGGGCAGCACAGCTGGGATGTCAGAGTGGTGACTGTGTGGAAAGCTGTCTGTTTCACCGTCATACAATCCTTTATCACCTACTACTGCAATTACAATGAACAACTACATTAGTATTCTGAGAAGAACTACCTCATTACGACACACACATTGTGGACGAAACACCTTCACATGAGAAGAAAAAGACAAACTGAGACATACATTATCTTGTGTAAGTCAGTAATATCAAGATGATAAGCTTTACGGAGTATTATATCCATAAAATTATCCCAGGATAATCACTTTTTAGTGAAGATTATTAATTAACACTAACATTTTACACCTAATTATTATGTATGCATTAGTTAACACATTGTACCTAACCCTAGGAGGAACATTGGCTCTTCTGGTATTTGCTCAGAGTTCTTAATCACAAGCACGGCTTCACAGATTTATGACACATTTTTAGCAGGTGAATGGGATTTGTTATTGGTATCAACCCTGTCCTGATGCCCACATTCAGGTGTGATACTGGAACTGTAACCAACCACAGTTTGGAGAAGGGAAAAAAACGTATTTTTGGAATGTCTGATACACTGTCATTCCCGGCTGTGTTCATCATTAGTTGATCACCTATTAAAGAGTTTAATCTGAACGGACAGTGCAAACTCTTAAAAGCAAGTTAGGGAGAGACTGAGTAAAGTTCTGTACGCTGAAAGAACATCTTATGTCAGGTATTTCTGAAAGCAATGCCAAGTGCAGAAACAAACAAGCAAACAGATCAATAAAAGGCATCAATTAGCACAGGTGGTTTGAAGCTCAGCTGGAATGAAAACCAGCAAACACAGTGGGTCTCCAGGAACAGAGCTGGAAAACACTTCCATAGTGAGATCAGCAAATATACACTGACCTCTGTAAATAAGTGTTTCTGCTTCAATTACCCCACGTAACCTCCCAGGTTCCCATGGTTCACACAGGCCCTTACTTTATTCAATCAATAACATCTTCAAACCTCTCGTTCAGCCCCTGTCAGTGTCATCAAGGTGCTAAAAAGATGAGGATCAATATTCCAGATTCCAGTCCAGAGCCAATGATCCTGTGGCCAAGATACTGTGCTCTCAAGCAAAGATGCAGAAAGAAGCAAATTCACCTGATGAGCTGATGTGAGCATTTCAATTAATCATCCTAATTAATATTTTCTGATCTGCTCTAATCCTCACACCATGGAATGCTGAAATTATTTTTTCTTTTTCTCAGTAGCAGATATTATGGTCCCTTTCACTTAATCGTTTCACACAAGATAAAATATGAAAACTGAACACATCTGTGTAGTCGGGAACGAACTTGGCCCTTGCCGGAAATCAAAGAATGGGAGCACTGGTCCATATACTCAATGACCTATAGTATCAAAACTATATTAAAATATTCACATTAAAAAGCCTCTGATTGGTTTTAGGGCTTAAGCCCTTTCATAATGTGGATCTGGAATATCATTAATGTTGGTGTATGTTGTTTGTGTGAGAAAGATGAGAAGGAGCCTCTGTAGACCAGAACATCCAAGGAGGGGCTAAGAGTCATGCCATGCCACATAAAAACACAGCGGCTTTTCACCTGTAGAAGCCCTCGTACAAGCCACACTTAACAATAATGAGTCTGTCAGCCGGGAGGACGAACAAACGAAAATGATGAGAAAAACAGTGAAAGAGGACACACAGCACAACCTTGGTTTAACGGACCGAAAGGGGGGCTGTCCGTCATTGCCATATATACATTAAATCATGAATGACGCTTTATTTCAGCCTGAAAACACACTATTAAACAAAAAAATTCTATATATATATATGCTTTCTAGATTTACTTACATTTTTTTATGAACTGCAATTAACATAGTCAATGCCAATTGTTTCTGTGTTTATCATAAATAAATATCATATAATGCATCAGAAATACTGTATATTATATAAAATTTGCTAAACCATACAAAAGGAAATAGCACCCACCATATGCCATTCACCTACCCCCATGTTTCAACCAAAGTCGCTTCCTCCTCACAGTGTCTATAGTACAACTAATGGACAATCAATGGAACCGGTTATTCCCTCTCAACCCTGAAAAGTCCCATGAGGAAACTGTCAACATACGTTCTGCCTTTATTGATACAACCAATTGCCCTTATACCGTACCACTGACATCCACGCCTTTAAGCATTTCACTGTGCCGGTTACTCCAGGGGAAGTCATGTTTGTCATAGTTCCCCTATAGCAGACTGCGTCCTTTCAATCCCAAGTCCGTTAAAGCGAGGGTTTACTGTACACACTCTGCAAACAACGTTAAGCACCAGCAATCTTTCGCCATAGACCTGCACTCCCCCTGCTGGGATGAACTGTTCTGCCCATAAGCTGGTGCTTCAGACGTTACCCAGAATGTGGCCTCTGAGATTGCTGGGCATTGCAAAGAGCACAAGCGGCGTCTGGAGCGCAGGTCTGACGTTTCTGAGACGAAGTGAATGAAGGCTTCACCCCTGTGGCAAAAGCTTACCTCTTCCCTGGTGTCACACAAGGTGAGGTTGAAGAGGGCTTTCAGAGCCTCCATGGCCCGTTCGTTCTCCTCCAACGGTAAAGGCTTGGGGTCTGGATCCATGGCGGCTTCGTATTTTCCCGCCCACTTGATGCTGAGAGTGTGCTCCAAGATCTCCACGAGCAAGTCCACCGCCTTCAGCTCGTGCTGCAGGAGGGCTCGCACGTCCGTCCTCAGGGCGGAGAGCAGGAAGAGCAAGCGCAGGGAGAACAGGGACACCTCGTGGCTCAGCCCGCAGGCGGCGGACGTCCTCAGCTGGGCGCACAGCCCCGCCGCCAGCCGGATGTCCGCGCTTACCTGCTGAGCCTCCTGGCTGTTGAAGACCACGTTGCAGAGGCACTTCAGGGCCTCCACCGCCACCCGCTCATGCGGGGTGTCGGGCGCCTCCCGGAGGCAGCCGCGCCGGGCGAGGACCAGCATGCCTTCCTGGGTCGCCACCGGCCCCAAGACCCTCTTGTCCCGCGACAGGATGCGCAGCGCCTCCAGGCAGGCGGTCTGGCAGCAGGGCGACCCATCCCTCTCCAGCACTCGCACCAGTCCCGCGCACAGTTTCTGGAAGAAGCAGGCTTATGCGGCTCATTGTGAGGAAAACACGCTGAAGCTATTCTGAGCTAAAACATCAACTAGAGCACACCGTTCAAGTTGTTGGACAGCATTCTCCCGCAGATTTCTCAGTCGACAACAAAGAATTATCCAAACAAATAAAAAATGTTGTCACTGAACAGTGATATTTAATCTAGTGCAACATTATCATGAATACAACGTTTTACATTGCTATACTGTCGTCCTCTGGATGGACTGAAGTATCTACAGTATCGAAATGTTAATTTTATCAAATAAAAACTCTTGCCTTTCTCTTGTCCTCCTCTTTTTGATCAAAGGTGAAGGTGCGACAGTTCTGCGACAAAAAATAAACAGTCAATCAAAACTAACACAAAATTATCATCTACTATTGGTAGGTTTTCCTTTAATAAAAAACATACCCTATTCAAGAAGAAATCACATTTACAACTGTGTGACAAACAGCACTCATCTGTTGTGTCAAATGTACCACCTATTTTCTTAACACAAGTTTTCTTGTTTAAGAGTAAAAGTTTATCTGGGAAGCTGTTCAGTTTTGAATTAAATTTACTTACCTACCTTTCACATTCCACGTATCTCACACTATCTCAACAAAGGACTTCTCAACTTTCAGACTACAAACTAAACTCCTGGGCAGTGACATTAGAGTGCTCACAAGGGGCAGACAGGAGTACAGAATGAAAGCCCTGTATCGTCACCAAAACCTTCCAGCATGCAGCAGGCTTGTGCCTCACAAGGGGTAGCACACTTTTGCAGAAGTCAATCTGAACTTTGCCAGAGGTGGAAACACATTTGGTTAAAGGAACCTCATAATAGACAAACCAGAAAAGGTCATACAACTTATCTGGTAGTTAGTATCTAGTCAATCTGAGAATGACACCCAGCCATTTCTTAAAAGAAGCCAAGGTATCAGCTTCATCAACAGCAATGGGTAGCTTGTTCCAGACTACCACAGCCTCTTCCTGAAAGATGTCCTTACTGTCCTATGGGTGACTGTCCAATGCTTTTAAAGCTAGATTCCAAATACACAAATCAAAGTCCCTTTATAGTCTGGATAACAATAAAGAGATTTAGTTATTTCAGCCTGTCAGTTTCAGAAATACATTTAAAATGTATTTAGTTAATTCCTTCAGACAATAATACACATGGCTACTCTTTTTTGGAATGCTTCAAAATACACCATAAGGTGTATTTTTTCTAAACCAAAAGTTTAGGATTAGTATAATAAAAGTTCTTATTATACTAATAAAGTACATATCAGACATTTAGACAGAGCAGTGGCTCTGCGGCTCAGGATCTGTGCCTGTGGCTGGAAGGTTGCAGGTTCAAATCCTGCGGCCGGCAGAGGAATCCTACTGCGTTGGGCCCCGGAGTAAGGCCCTGAACCCTAACTGCTCCAGAGGTGCCGTATAAATGGCTGCCCCTGTGCTCTGACCCCAAGCTTCTCTCCCTGTCTGTGTGTCTCATGGAGAGCAAGCTTGGGTATGCAAAAAAGATGAATTCCTAATGCAAAAAATTGTATATGGCCAATAAAGTGATCTTATCTGTGAAAACTGGCGACTGGGATAACTGGAATAATTCAATTGCAAACAAAACTCAGATACAAAATTCTCCAGGTCAGACAGAACGGAAAACAACTTGTTCAGGTCTTTGTTTTAGGTCAACACAGTGGTTCCAATTTCAAGATCAAATAAAAAAAAGATTACACGTAAATCAGCAACTTAACACAAAAGCCCATGCATCGTGAAACCTCGATGAAAGTGAGAGATATACTGCGGGTATAGTGCACCTTAAAACACTATTGGTATTAAAGAATAAATTACCGTCATTTTAGCAACAGTCCTCTTTGAACATCGATACCTCACACAAACTGCATTCTGCTGCTAATCTTCATACTGACCATGCCCTTTCTCAAAGACTGCAGCCGCTTCTCGGATTCTTGTCTGTCCAATGCACAGACAATAATTAATATCCCTTTATCATATGAGCCTGTGCATTTAAGGAAACTTTATAATTTAACGCCAGCGGATGGGAATCGCTTCCTGAAACTGCTTTGAATGGTGACAGGGCTCTTCTGAGCTCACATCTGGGTACGCGAGCATCTGCTAACAGCGCTCATAATGCTCTTTTCAGCGATTTCCCCATGTTAAACAGGGTCAAATGACTCGTAATTGTTTGACGTTGATGTAGGAGATTAAAACTCCTGCTTTTTCGCCGCGTTACAGAATGGGTGTTGTGTGCACATCGTTACATCAATTGTCCTTTAACTGACGTCAGGAACTGTAAACCAGGAGCTGAATTTCCTACCTCTCGGTTAAATTCTCGCAAAAGGGTTTCAATTTCTTCTTCATTGCCGGTCTCGAGATTTGACAAGATGATGCTCAGGTCCATTCCTCACAAAACACAGGGTTTCAAACTCTAAAACGCTACAAATGTGACACAAAATAACCCTTCCCCGTCCCAACACCCAACCACAACACAACACACGCCCTCATCGGCCTTTCAACCTTGAACTTTCAACCGGTGACGTACGTCGGTTCCCTTGACAACAAAATCACGGGCTGTACTCGTATGGCGTAAATTGCTGTGACCTTTATGTGTTTTAGTCTATTACTTAGTAAAGCCTTTTCTGTGGTGCCAATAATTGTGAGTGAATATGACTTCCACTCATTTAATGTGAACAGTTTGTATTAACATTAACAGGGTATAATCTCTGTTATTTAATGTTCATCTTTTACAATATTACACAATAATATCTTGTCTCTAGGGTATACAGTTGTTTTTATGCAACAGAAACAGATGATGGCCAATATTTTATAAAGAGCACATTGTGGCTTCAACCCATTTTGTGCATTTACAACTCGAGATCTATTTATGGTTCACCAAAGTCAACCCAGTCTATCTGTGAGCAAGGGGTCAAGTAAATAACAGACTAACCATGAAGGTGGAGTCAATCAAAACTGAAATGTATGCACTGAGAGAAAGTTTTAAATACCAGTAGCTTTCAGCTGTGTAAATGTAAGAGCTCTGTGTAGAACAAAACACTGCCATTGATCCATATTTTGGAAATTTATTTTTCGTGCCATCCACTGGGTTGATGTTTTGATTTTAAAGGCTGGGTGTACAATTACATAAGAATAATACCTCACATTTATATAGTCCTTTTGATCCCAAAGTACTTACACATAATTGGGGACCTACTTTCATAAACGTCTGAGGTACAGAGGCATTCTGCACCCAAGGTCCCACTGCACAGCAGATCAGATGTAGTATTAAGTGGGAACTTCACAAGCCAAGAGCAGAATGTAGCCAGTACATCAAGTTTGACACGCCTACTCATTTGAAAAAGCACCCTGGGATCTCAGTCTCACATCTTGTCCAAAGGATAGTACCTGCAACAGCACAGTGTCAATGAGCTTATGAAAACTCCACAGAGGAGTCCTTGTTTTGGGATGTGTATGGCAGGTGTTTTGAGGAAATTCATAAAGACCCATGTCTCCTGCAGCCTTCAAAAGTCTTTCTACACTTTTAATGAACCATCAGGAAAGAACACTTCAAATTGGATTAATAGGTAGCTGATTAAGTTCCATTGACCAGATTCTTAAGAATGGGGCAGTATCAATAATTTTGCACTTCATCCTTTGTTTAGGCACTGTAAATATACAGTACAGGTTTTACTTCTCAAACAGTAAACAGATGTGATTTTCCTTCTTCATGACCAGATCTTATAGTTTTTTTACCTTTCGTTGAAAAATAATTATATCTTTTAACTGCTTCTTTCTAATGGAATACCTCACTCAAAACCCACAACTACCTGCAATGTTTAGTTTTTTTCAACAAACAATAATAAAAAAGCTATTAATTATTTTCGTCCTTTTATAGTGGTCCCTATATATTGGTTTGCTAACTATATACATTTTATTTGATAAAAAAGAATTGAATTATATCTCTTCCCATTCTCATGGCTTAAAAAAAAACAGCAGAAAAATACTAAAATCTACAAACATTCAAGTTTATTTTCTTAAAATATTTTTTATTTTAGTAAATGCTTCCAAAAGTAAACTTTGAAAAACTAGATAGGGTATCCCGAAAGTAGAAAAAACATTCAAAATTATTTTCTGTAACTTTGTAACTTGAGCACATTGAACCGACTAGCACTGTTTTTAGGTGAAGTGCTCTGTGATATGTTAACATAAAAAACACTATATTAAAAGTTAATATTGTATTGCAGTACTAATGATAAATCCCTGCATTTCGATACCACTTTTTCTGAGTGTTTTACATAAACGAAAGGGACCACTTCAACCACCACTAAAGTTTGTTGACGCACTTCAACCATTATTCACCAGTAACCACACCAGTTTCTGGATCACGACTGAGCACGTCTGCCGTGGAAAAACCTCATCCTTGCAGACATTACAATGCGGTAGGTGTTTGTGTACAGTATCATTACACACCGTTACACTAAATGCAGCCAAAATAATAACAATAGTGTTACAAAGCAACGGGAGTTTCCGGTGACCTGCATTTTGCGTCGTACGATTTATCAATCGCTCCCAAACGTAGTGGTTGTCATTTTACAAAATAGTGCCCGGAGATTACAGAAAAACATTATATAAAGTAATATTATCTAAAAATGTTTTTTTCAATATTGGAGTTTTTCTTTATATGCACCTCCAATTGTTACAATTTCTTTTAGGTAGCGTGGAAAAATCTACTTCTTCCTTTGCAATTCACAAGCTGACGCAGCTGCTTACTTAAATATGTTAATGTTTGCCATTTAAAGATAGTCTGCAATGTTCATTTAATGTTTGTCTCTAAATAAATGCTAAATTTTCAAGTTATTGCAGTAGTACAGAGAGGCTGCAGATGCTACGTAGATAACGGTGTCTATGAGAATTTGTTTTACACCGTTATGAACGATGGCGTGTCATTTTTTATCTATTTAGTATTTTACTGTTTGATTCCCTCACATTTGGATGTCTCAACTTTTTTTATTGAAATTTGAAGATCTCCTGGAGGTAACATCCACTGCAAAATATATAATATAAATAAAGTTAAATTTTAGTAACGTTTCTTGAGGTTTGGTATGTAATAATCTCGAATAAGTATATACATTATTGATATTAGTAAAAACATAACCAGACTATGAACACTACATTACTGCTAGTTGTGTGGGGGAAGAGATGTTTGGAGAAGACTGTATATTTTTTCCATTTTCTTTCACAGCTCTCTGAAACAGACCATGATTGTGAACCTTTCCTTGTGGGTGTGGATTATTGGGGAGGGAATCAGCCTCTATAAAAACTTTAGGGTTATATGTCAGAGGTCACTGTGCTGAAGGGCACTGACCCCTAACAGCAGGAGAGATTTTCCTTAGAAATTTAATTTTTTCCACACCGTGCTTCTATTAAAGCATCTCCCCCACTGAGTCTTTTTAGAACTGAGCTAATAAAAAAAAAAACGTGGTCGGCTGAGTCTCTAGTCAAACTGGTCTACCCCTGTTATATCACAAAGGAAAAAGAGCTTTAAAACTATTTTAACTTTTTTTTAACTAAACTTGAATTTGATCTCAAACTACTTAAGGAAAGGTACATACACATTAAACGCATCTATAGGGACAACAGAATGCTCATTGAGTACTGTTTATTCAGTAGGGTTTATTGTGCACTACACAAATACATATAGGAATGAGTTTTTTTTTTCTGGAACCTTTTTTAAACCAAAGTTTAATCTTAAATAGTGTAAGCACAACTGAGAAAGTTTATTTGTTAACATCTGTGGTTTGCAGGTGTTGTGTCGGAGCTCAAAACATGTTTTAATTTAACATCAAGGATGTTTTTTTGCTGCTTTTCATAAAACGATAGAAGAAAAAAAATGTCAAATGAGGTCAATTGCAATATTTTGTGCTTCTTCATTTTCTCTTCCCATAATATTATTAAATGAAACACAATTACATCACTTTATTGAGTGATATTAAAGTAGAAGTTGGTTTATCTATTGCTCAGCTTAAGCATGTTCATAATCATATAACCAGATTATATTATTATGAATAGATTGCTGGAGAAAAGTTACAACTGAGGTGAGACTACACAGCCCATTTAGCCTGCAGTATATGGCAGTTAGTTGCTTTTGATCTCAGGATCTCAACCAGCTGTTCCTTGAAAGGCACAAGAATTTTGCTTTCATCGATATAACTGGGTAGCTTGTTCATGGTTATTTGGGTAGAATTTGTGTAAACAACTTGAGGTTGAGAGAGATGATTCTTATTGACCTATTTATTGTGCATGACTCTGCTCATATTAACAATACCAGGGACTGTGTTTTTCTGTACTGTGGAGTTGACATATTTTTCTATGTACTGTATGTGTAAATACAATATCCTAAATAATGGAGGACAGTGAGTTGAAGAGTTATAGATTGCAGATTGAAGATTTGCAACAAATTGCTAAAGGTAGACTTGAGAACGACTTGTGAACTACAAGCCCTATAATCCTTAAGATCCATAAAATTAAGATAGCCCAAGCTGAGAAGATGCATCTGTATAGAAGCAATCAACAGAAATATGAAAGAGTATCTAACAAAGGCCTATGGGTGCTTGTCCTGTTTATTTGAATAGCTACCATATAACCAGGGCTAAGGTGGAACAATCATGCATGACTACCTTTCTTGAGGAATCTGAGCTGGACATTGACCTACGCCTGGAAAATCCCCCTTGAGTGATTGGTTGGATTTTCACATACTGGTAGGCAATGTACAGTAACTTTAAGTGCTCAGATGAAAGAGTGAGGCTTTTCAGTTTTCCTTCTCTTTTTTTGTTTTGTTTACCTTAATAGTGTTTATATTATGCTATTAAAGTACTGAAGAGCTCTGCATGTTGTGTGACCCCAACTTTAAAAGATGCCCTGACTCCTCCTACCATTATGTCACTGTACGTATTATGTAGTAAATGACCCCTTATCCTTTTAGAAAAAAATAGAAAAGTGTAAATAAGAGCATTTCAAATTCTGCTCATTTTGTAACCCTCCTGGGATTGTGGCCTTGTTGTGGTTAAGGGGATTGAGTGCCTTAGAGCTATGTTTTAGGATTACCCTTAATAAATTGATCAGGCATGAGCAGAACGAGCACCTTGTGGCTGTGTCACCTATGTAACCCGGCTGGGCTCAGCCTGCTATGTCGACTCTCTGCATGCAAGCCGAAAGATGGGGAATGGTGTGCGATGCCACCTGGGTAACATGATGAGAGGGATGGGTCCAGATGGGCTAGACCTTGGCAAAGGAATTGGGACATGGTGAGGTAGGTTGAAAAGTACCACATAGACATAGTCGGCCTTACCTCTGTGTACTGAATTGGCTCTGGAACCAGACTACTTAATCGCGGGAGGTCTCTCGCCTTCTCTAGAGTTCTCTCAAGTGAGAGGCCTCGAGCTGTTATAGGGGAACTTGTGAGTCCTCGCCTGGGTGAGGTAAAGCTTGGGTTTGTCCAGGTGGACAAGAGGATCGTCTCAATGCAACAATGAGTTGCAGCAAGGAAAACTCACACTGTGGTTTGTGCTTATATGCCTAACAATTGTTCAGATCACTTGGCCTTCTCAGAGACAGTGGGTGTAGTGTTCTATAGGGTGCTGCCTGCTGAGATCTGTAGTCTTGCTGGGAGATTTTAACACTCATGTGCAGAATAATGGAGAGATCTGGAGGGGTGATATAAACCTGAGCAGTGAGTTGATACTGCACATGTGTGGTGGTCATAACCATGTTCGACACAAGTGTACTTGACCCAGAGCACCTTGGACCAAATCTTGATGATCTGTGGTTGTATCATCAGATCTAAGGCCATATGTTCTGGATACTGAGATAAAGAGAAGGGCAGAGCTGTCAACTGATCACCATTGGGTGGTGAGTTGGGTCAGATGGATGGCACCTTAGCTGGAAAGACCTGGGAGGCCCAAGTGGGTAGTGAGGATGTCCTAGGAACACATTGCAGACGCCTCCATGCGGTATGTATTCTACTCCCACCTGAGATCCAACTGGATCTTGTTCAGGACCATGGTCTTTGAGGCTGCTGCGGGGAACTGTGACCAGAAGGCGGCCGGCACCTGTTAAAATGGGAACCCTTGGAAATGCTGGTGTACACTAACGTTGAGGAATCCGTGAAGTCAAAGAAGGATGTCTTCCATGCATTGCTCTCCTTGGGGTGGGGTGGTGGCTGGAGGTGTCCTCCAGAGTTTTCCGAGAGGTAGAGGTTTGGTAAGAGTTTGGAGGGACTTGGAGAATGACTGTTAGAAGGTCTTAAATATGTTCCAGCAAACCCTTGAACGACTCATGAGGGGAAGTTGGGATGTCACCCAAGGCTGTTCTCAGCAAGGGCTGCGTAACATTGACCTTGACTGGTGATATTATTGAGAGGTAGAAGGAGCACTTTGAGGAAGTCCTGAATCAGGTGGACATGCCCTCCATTCACGAGGCAGTGAAGCCTCTGGTGGGACTGTGTCCATTTCTGTGACTGGGGTTACTGCGGTGATTAAACAGATCTATAGTGGTAGGGCTGTGGGGGTGGATGAGATCTGGCCATAAACGCTGAAGGATCTGGACATTGATGGGTTGCCAGGGTTAATGCACCTCTTCAGTGTTGCGTGGAAGGTGGGGACAGTGCTTCTGGATAGGCAGCCTGGGGTGGTGGTTTCCATGACTAAAAATAAGGGTGTGTTTCAACTTCGGAGGGATCACACTCCTCAGCCTCCCTGGGAAGGCCTATGCCAGAGTGTTGGAAAGGAGACTTCATCCAATAGCTGAGCCTTAGATACAGGAGGAACAATGTGCATTTCATCCTGGCCATGGAACAGTAGACCAACTCTTAATCCTTACGACTGGGTGGGAGGTGGTGTTGGAGTATGGCGTACCAGATCTGCTACTGAATGCAATCCAGTCCCTGTATTTGGGGAGCAATAGCTGTGTCTGCATTCTTGGTATTAATTTGAGCCATTGTACTCCAACAAGGGTGTGTCTCATGGTCATCATGGACAGGGTATCAAGATGCTGGCGAGGATTAGAGTGTATGCAGTTTGGAGAACTGAGGGTTGTATCTCTGCTGTTTACAGATGATGTTTCCTTTTCGTCTCATCTGAGTCTGATCTCCGGAGCGCACCGGAAACGTTGGTAACCGAGTGTGACACATTCAGGATGAGCGTCTGCACCTCCAAATCTGACGCCACGGTTCTCTCACGGAAAAGAGTGTCTTGCTTTCTCCAGCTGAAGGGGGAAAAGCTGCCCCAGGTGGAGGAGTTGAAGTACTTGGGGTCATGCCCATGAGTGAGGGTAGAGGGCTTTGTGGGGCTGCAAAGTGGATTGGGGTAGTAATGCAGACACTGTGCTTAAACATGGTGGTGAAGTGGGAGCTGAGGTTTCGGAAGAAGCTTTAGGTTTTCTGGATGATCTGTGTTCCCATCCTCCCCTCTGGTCATGAGCTTTGGGTGGAGACCAAAAGAATGAGTTTCGTGGATAAAAGGAGGAGAAATTAGGTTTCTCTGTAGAGCTGCTGGGCTTTCTCTCCGCGACAGGCTGAGGAGCTTGGCAGTCCAGGAGGACCCTGGAGTAGAGTCGCTGCTTCTCTGGATCGAGAGGAGCCAGTTGAGGTGGTTTGGGCATCTGGTGAGGATGCCCACCCAGGTAATTCCCAATGGAGGTGTACCGGGCACAGCCCACTGGGAAGAGACCCTGGGACAGATCCCGGGACACTCTGGAGGGATCATATCTTTCGGCTGGCTTGGGAGTGCCTGGGAATCCACCAGTACACCAGCAGACTGTTACTGGGGAAAGGGAAGTGTGGTCTGCCCTTCTCAGTGTGTTACCACCATGACCCTCACCAGGAGTTAGCAGTTAGAAAATGAATTTGTGAGTGGATCATTATCTAATGCACCTGAAAATGGTACAATCCATATCAATATCATTTAGAAAAAGGGTTAAATGGCATGCTTGGGTTGTAGTGGTCTCCCAAATATCAAACATTTCTAAAAAAATACATTTTGACATCTTTATTTGACTTTTCAAGATTTTTATGTAACAGCCTTCTCTATATAAATATCTCCACATATATTGATTTAAACCACGGGTCCCCATTCCTGCTCTTGATGGGCTGGTGGGGTTATGACTTTTCATTCCAGTTGGAATCTTATTCAGCTTGCTATTGGCTTAATTGAAACAATTTAAGAGCTGGAAGAGAGACCTGGAAAACCTGCAGACACACCAGCCCTCCAGTACCAGGACTGGGGACACCTGATTAATGCCATGACCATAATTACCCCAGAGGTTGCCAAGAGTGCTTTTATTTACAGAAAGTGACTAATGTTATTTTGATTTCCTTTCCTTGTATTCTTACCCATAGGGTAATAGGTCCGCAGTAGTTTCTGAGTGCATTTTATAATACACAAATCTAGGTTAATCTTTTTTTTTCTAACAAGCCAAACATGACAACAACAAAAAAACACACACAATGTTACAAAGTGACAGAAAAAAATGTCTACATTAAGTTCTCTCAGAAATACAGCTGTATAGCTTTTGAAGTACAGTATAACACAATATATTTTCAAAGGCACAGCTTTGAATTTTAACTATGAGTGGGAAATATCTTAAAAATTTATATTCAGAGTAGAACCCAAAGTGATTTTTTTGGGTTATGCACTATCCTCCTTACACCTGTTCTGTTTAATGTTTTCCAAGTACCAACATTTAATTCTTTGTGACTAACTGCCACTGTAAACCTTATACTAAGTTTATTTAGTAATTATTAAGGCCATATGTCATGGTTACATTTCTTGTAACATGTTGAAAATGTTCCAGTTCCTGTGAAGGTTTTTGTGTCTTTGTGTGCACGTGTGTGTTTTGGTGGTGGAGGTGTGCTGACATGCGTGTGTGTGTTTTGGTGGTGGTGGAGTTGTTACAAAAGAAGAAACTTTAGTTCTGGCTGTAATGATGTCAACTGTAGGCTGAATGCAAACCAAATCCTGTAATATGCAGCACTGTACTGACATCAATTGGCAGTGAAGAACGCTGATGCTGGCTGTTTGTTTAGGAGACCATCCAATATTCTTTTTCACAGCAACTACAAAAGTCAGGAGTTAAGCCACTTCTTAAAAATCTTGCTTGGAGGACAGTACCATGTGTACATTCCTGAAAAACAAGATCCTCCTTCAGAATTCAGTGAAATGACACATTAATTTTCTCCATGATTGGTTTCTGCTGCACTTAAGAAAAAGGCACTACTTGACCTAAAGGCCAGAGTTAGGTTTAGATTCCAGGGTATGATCCAAGCAGCAGAAGGTAAGCAGTGGTCATCACAGACGATGGAGCTCTCCACTGTGGTTTCTGTTTTTAATGGTCACAAACAACAAAAGAAAATAAGTTTGCTGCAAAGTTCTTAAAACTGCAGTTGACGTCATCCAGAATATTACATCTCCCAGCAAATGTTCAATCATGAAATTAAATTAAATTTATTATTATTCTTTCATAAGGTGGGCCTCCGGTGTGTTTTTTGGCATTCGGGATTCAGGTCCACTTTAGGGGCCCCTGATACAGTGTTTAATACGTTGTCTTCCACTGACGCGTTGCTGGCAACCCTGAGGGAAGATTTATTTGGCCCATCCTGTAGTGGTCTCCCCATTTATATATGCAAAGCCTGGAAAATGTTGCACGTGCTCGTATTCCGAGTTCCTGCGGGCCGCCAGCGGGGAATACATGTCCCCGGAGTTGCTGTATCTGGAGGAGTGCATCGGGGGACTGGCGTAGCAACTGTTCGCTGACGGGACGTCAGGCCAGCGGGGCGTCACTGGTGTGGGGTGCAGCCTCGGGGTGCCACTCATCAAACAGGGCTCCATCCGGGACATCTGACTGTTGAGGGGGTACTGCAGCAGAGAAAACAACCCACATCAGACACTTCAAAACTACTGCGGGCTGAGAGTATGAAACAGGGGCACCAGCGCTTCAGATAACTAAAGTTTAGTCTTGTGCGTGTCCAAAGTAAACCAAAATCTAGTTTATTGAAGGTTTTGCTGTAAAACCTATAAGTATACAGTACATTATGAACAATTCTATAGTGTAGTATGTTTTCCTGCAATAGACTGGAGTCCTATACAGGGTGAATGCTGGCTTGTGACCTTTGCATGCCAATGCCAGGTTAGGCTCTGGCTCTCCCACAGCACTAAATTGGATGTGGTTGGAAAATGGATGGATATACAGTATGTAGATGTAACATCATCACACATACACAATATATCACATATCACTGCTAATCTTTAAGTGTTATGAGGTATACCTAACATATTTTTAACTATTATATTAGCTATTAGATATTAGGTATATTTCATTTTCACCATATTTAATAACCTTGACAAGATTCCAAACATTTTTTTCCAAAAATGTTCTAAAAGGAAATAGTAAAAAAATAGTTTATAATACTGTACATAGTTTACATCGTTTACGTATACAGTTTGCTAAGCAGAATAAAGTTTTTCCCAAGACAGAATAGTGATGTAAACTTATTGATTTTTTATTTTTAAAACTGGTTAAGATAAAAGGTTTCTGGGAAGGATCAGCAAAACATGGTCACGCTCTCTCTGTCAAATATTATTTTCAATTCAAAAGTTAACCTACTTAATTCAGGTAGCTAAAGGAGAACTGAGCATTTCTCAAATAAGGCAGATAATTGACTGGAAGACAAGTGTGTTTTGCTGTTCTGTTTCCACCTGTTCTAACACATTTACATTTTTCTTGTTTTACCGTTTTTGGAGCCAGTGGAAACCTGACTTCTTGTACTTAAAGCACAGTCCTAAACTGCAGTTCTTAGAAAACATTTTTTCCTTCTCTTTCCTGATTTTACAGGACATGCCCTTTGTATCACATCTTACAGCCCCTTTGAAAGAGCTTTTTCAGACTAACTGAGCACTTTGTACCACATTTAAGTTTAGGAAAAAGAAGTAGTTAAAGTCTATCTTAGCCTTCTAAAAATAAACAGTTCACAGTAAACTCTATTATGAGTGAGTGGGGCATGGAAATAAAACGTCAGTGTGGGTCAGAAAATTGCACAGAAAAGCCAGTGACTTCTTGTTCATGAGCAGTGAAGAGACCATTGAAAAACAATATTTTAATAATCGCCCCTTGCCCCGTCCCTGGCTATCAGCTCGGCAAATGAAGCATCTATTGAGCCGGGGGGAAAAAAAATCCCAAGTACAGCCATCTGCACGGATGCTTGCCCATACTGGTACAATCACCTTTCACACCACGCATCCGGTTTTATGAAGAGTGCTTAAGCACGTTGGGTTCAAAACACTGAGGCCTACTGATCTTTTCCGAGCACAAAGGCAATGTTTGTTGGAGGGCCCTTCACAGGAAATTACCATTATAAGGGTCAACTCACGCTCACTCTTGCTAACAGGACACAAAACTCCCTGATCCCCTCTCTCTCTCTCCCTCTCTTTCTCTGTCGCTCTTTTTCACACTTTTTCTCTTGCTCTCCCTCTCTCCCTCTCTTGCTTACTCTTTCTTTGGCAATTTAGGATCCTGCATTTTTTTGTGTCAGTGGCACAGAGCCCCTGAGAAAATTCAAATATATAACATGAGCCTTGAAGACAACAGATAAATCCGCAGAGATAAAATAAAGATGTGACATTGTACTGCAGGATCTTTTTAATTCAGAGTGAGGTGCATGTTCACTTACTGCATCGATGCCATTTCAAATAAATTATGTAATGTTTCATAACAACGCTCTTTCAAATTGAACTGGAAAAAAAGTTCCCAAACAGGGACCCTTTCTTCTGAATGTAGGTTTGTGAGCTGTAGAGTTGTTAAGAGAAAATGTAACCAACAGATGCGCTCAAAAAAGACTGGTGATTTACTCTGACAAATATTTCACAGCATTCCTGCAGCATAAAAGCTTCATTTCCTTGAATGCTGGGCTTTAAATGCTGTACAATATCTCTGCTGCTGAGAGTGCAACTCATTGTTAATCTGAAAGCAACATTTGCATGTTAATAGACTTGCTTTGGTTAACTTCTGCATTAAAATTCCTTTCTGATTTACGGTGTGTGTAAAATTCAACCTTCAACAGCAAGTATGGAATTTACACTGGCCTGACATTGAACACTGAATATATAATTATATTTTGCATTGTAAAACTAATTTTATTGGGACACAGCTTGTGGATAATGCAGAAGACATTGTTCAGCAGATTATCTGACTTCAACTCATGCCTCCTTGGTAACATTCCCACATTGTTACAGAGTTAATTTCATACAGCATCAGCATAGATCATGACACATCATTCTCATCTGATAAATATTTATCACTTTAATTTAGATTCAGAACAATCTTTTATTATCTCTGATTACAGTACATTTAGCTTGCAAAAGTAGTATTTACCACATTTTAATGGGACACGGAAAATGTATTTTGTTATAAAACTCTACTTGCTTTTGTTTTAATATTGTCATAAACCTTGTCCATACTTACTAATGGTAATATAAAGGTTATGCTGTTATTATATTGCAGGGTGACTGAACACCTATTAAATATAATAAAAATATCAAATCTATGATTCTAAGACCTAAAAACCTAACAAGTGATTAAAAACCTCATTTGCTATGTATAGTGGCACAGTGGTTAGCATTGCTGTCTCACAGCACTTAAGCCCCTGGGTTCAATTCCATACTTGGGGTGCTGTCTGTGTGGAGGTTGCATGTTCTCCCTGTGTTTGTATGGGTTTCCTCCCACAGTCCAAACACAAACTGGCAGGTTAATTGGCTTCATTGGAAAATTGGCCCTGGTGTGGGTGTGTGCATGTTTGTGTCCGCACGTGTCCTGGGCTGAGCTGGCGTCCCATTCAGGGTGTACCCTGCCTTGTGCCCACCGTGCTACGGCTCCCCCGCGACCCTGAATTGGATAAAGTGGATAGAAAATGGATGGATGGATAAAATCCATAATCCCCTGCTGTGCCTACAGCCCTCCAGTATTCCCAAACAAAATCTCCCACGCTGGTGTACATGCAGCATCGACAGACACTCGACACATCTGGCCGGTGGCTCACCTGTGAAGTGCTCCGGTGGTAGGCAGGGTAGTGCAGTGGGGCAGCGATCCCAGGTTCGTGCGGAAGGGCGCTATATTGGCTCTGGATAGGGTGGTGATGCTGGTTGGTGTAGCTGCTATAGTTGTACCCTCCTGTGTACCTTAAAAGGTGGCGAAACAAGAGAAAACTGAATAGTGCCCAAGTCTGGAGCCCCCAGCTTTGTTTCGTCACCGATGCCTGCCATAACCTGTGTGGCTGTGACAGGGACGGATACCTACCCATGGTCTTCCCTGTGAGGGTACACGGGCATCCTGTGTGAAGAGGAGGACGGGGGGACGTGAGTGCTTCTCATGCAGGGCAGCTGCTGCCCACTGTCTGTGGGGCTGTTTCCGGCCGTTGTCACTGTATATGTAAGAGACCAGGTATACGATTGAACAGCCCCTGTTGAAAACAAACAAAATGGACGCCTTTCTTACCGATAAATCTCACTCAGCTACAACAGTTCCAGTTAACTAGGGGTCCGGATCCCTTGGTTATTTGCTCCTCAAGCTGAATCTAACCTGACGTAGACCTCTAGGTACCAGTAGCTCCTTCAGCTTTCCAATGTGCTAACAGTCCAGTGCGCACGCTGTTCCCCCCGTGAATTGTACTGTATTTGGTTGTGTTTACAGAATATGCAGCCATAATAACAATCATATAAAAGCCAGTGCAAAAAATCCTAATAGCTTGTGAAAAACATATTACTTGTATGCTGTATGTCTTATTAATTGCATAGCCTTTAAAACATTGTGAATTGATATTTTACTGAAGCTGTTGGATAGGGTTTGAGATGCTAAGCCTTGATCCCAGGAGGCCCCGCTGGCCTTGGTAGCCTAAAACATCTTGGAAGCCCCCTGAAGCTTTTACCATGATGCAGTGCTAGGAGATTATAAATAAAAAATGTTGTGATGAAGGGCCCAATTGACAACTGTAAGAAGGTTTTCGTAACAGTTCTATGTAATTACGTTCTATGATCTTGGACCTACACCCTATAGTAAAAGATTGCAACCAATAACATAACCAGAAAAAGAACAAGCTGTCTCATTTTTAAATGTATATTAGAACAATTGTCTCTTTCAGTATTTTGATAGCAGTACACTATCGAGCTGCAGCGGACTGGAGGCATCAAATAACTGTGATTTTGGAAATTAACGTGTACAGTTCTGGATTAAAGTGTTTTTTTCACAGAAGTTACTATCTCATACAAAAAATACTGAATCAAACTATTTCTGGCGGTACCTTTTAATTATCATGTGGTCAGGTAGATTCCAAATATTTTGTCAATGGAACTTCTATGTTATGATGTTACTTCAGGCTAAATAAACAAAAGTATTTGTTCCATGTTGTCAGGAAAAGAAGAGCACTAGATCTAGATTTCTCACCAATATGCATATGCAGTATAACACTTATACTTGGAAAATCTTCAGAACTAGGCTCCCACATTCATTTTTCAATACAGCTTGAATAGAAAGGAGCTAGTTACAATGCTGAAGAAAAAGTTAAGTGTATCTGTTCATTTCTGTCATCTCTGGGCAATTCATTTACAGGTATATAATAATATCTGCAAAGGAACAAGTAAAGATTAATTTAATGCTGAAAAGAGAAGAAAGGAAACACAACATTTCAGCTGTGGAGCCTTCTTCAGGTGCTCCGATGGAATTTTCATGTTTTTCAGTGGGAACTGTAGTTTTAACTCCAATGTTTCATTATAAGATCAGCAGCATAACAAACTTATGTTATTGTACTCATATTTGCTTAATATCTGTAACGCCACATACCTGTTGTAGCTGGTACGCTTGTATATTCTGGTGATTGGCTGTTACTGGGAGAGTGGGCTGAGGGGATTTCCACAGAATTGACAGATTTAGCAGGAGAGTATGGGCCTGGTGACACTGACGGAGGTGTTGTCTCTGTCAATATGATCTCTTCCCTTCTGTCTACTGTAAGTCACAAAGCAGACAAAAAATAGAAATCAATCACTTTGATAAGTGTAGCCACTGAATAAAGAGGGTACCAGATTAAAGGTTACAGTAACTATTGCTGTCATAATAACATGAAAAGAGTTACGTGGTGAGATCAGACATTTTCTAAGGCCTCTAAATGGTGTTCATTTAACAGACGTTTAGAAAGTCAAGTGCTAATCACCTGTGTAAAAATACTCCCTGGCTGCCCACAACTTTCCACACGTCCGTTCCAGCTCCCCTCCCTCAACCCCAGCTTCACTCTCACAGCTGCCTCCCTGGCTCATTCCTTGTAAGTAAGGGGGGTTGTGACAGCACTGACCTTCAGCCAGTATTGCCATTAAAATGTAATGCCAACATTTAAGTACGCTTTCCCTTTAAATTTATTGTCTTGTTTTGTCGTTACTTACGTGCCCTTTTTTTGCACATAAGCAAAGCAATATTGGATTTTGCATCTTCCCTGGTTGGTTGTTTAGGGGTGGTTTGTAATGGGTGGTTATCACCATTTGTTAAAAGACAAACACCTGTATGCAACTTTAAGAACCATAGGAGTTCAGCCTAGGCCTTGGGCCCTCCTCAAGTCTGTTTAAACAAAATCTCCACTATCTGAAAATAAATGAACATGGTAATATCCACAGGAAGCTTTTTAGTCTTTGGGCTTTGCATGGAGAGCATAAATGACAACAGAACAGCAGAATCTAAATGCACTCCTCGTACCTGTGTTTCCCTCCCCCTTCATTGCCCTCATTAGCTCATTGGCCCTCTCCTGACAATGGAGCGACTCCAGCAAGTACAGAACGTAGTCGTCGAACATGAGGTGGATCAGGTGGAACGAGCCTGCCGAGAAACAACGTGCAGAGTATTCACTGCATGCCCCCAGACATCTGCCCTCCGTATCTCAGACCCGAACGGGTTGCGCAGGGCACAATACATTAAAGTCTGCTAGAACAGAGAACAATCTTTATCAGGATTTCAAAGGAAAACGGATTAATAATAAAAAAACATACCGGACCGAGGGTTCACAGCGTGCCTGAATAGCAGCAGATGCAAGGTTCAGCACAAGATTAAGCAGTTCTTGGCTTCTGAAACTATTTGCTTCTGCCAAACCTTGCTTTTATTCTCCTTTTAATGTTATTGTGCTTTCTCTTTTTGCGTGCCCATGTCCATCCTTAGCACGGTAAGAAAAACTAAGCAATATCCAGAACATTGACATATTATTTATAATGGCATAATAGACATATCCGTTTTTTATAGACATGTATATCAATTTGACCTATATACTGTATGCAACATTTACAGGGTGATTTTCAGAATAAAAATCCCTCAAATCAAAATGTATTCTCCATTTTCTAAAAGCATCTGTTTCAGGTGTATATCTAGAAAAAGACAAGAAGATAGCAGTAGCATATTGATACTATTTGTTTGCCGTAAAATTTTGTTGACTGTAATGTTGTAAAGCTCTGTGAGTTTTTTAAGAAAGAAAAATGGAAAGGGTTTGCACTCAGGGTGAGCACAGAGATATACAGTAGGCCATGTTTCAGAAATGTGCCTTTGAAAGCTTGCGTCTTTAAAATTCAATCTTGACACTGCCTATCTGGAGAAAGGCAGAAAGGCAGTTATTTGCTCAGTTAATAAGTTTGTGCCTTTTTAATACTGCAAATACTTTTTAATACTGCTCATAATTGCACTTTGAGCTGTTTAATATGTCTTTGGTAATTATTCTCTACCTAGAAAGCAGAAGCAGAACCCTCAGCCTAGAAACTAAAACAGTTTCAGCATATGCTAGGATTGCCATTGTACGGCAGGTTATTCCTAACTGACGTAAGTGAGATTCTGTAATGGATGCAACTTCAAGGAAAGAGACTTCTTTCCTTTCAAAATAAGGAGTACACATATTCTTTAAAACAGAAAGCTCCCCAGCTGATTGCAGTACTAAATTGTCTATGAAAAGAAGCAGTGTACTGCTTTGGAGAACAACACAATCGCCATATTGTAATGGTCTTTACATTTGCCTGGTGCATAATAAACTCTAACAGCTATTGACAAAGATCAGACTGATGCACGAGTGTCATAAAATGCTAAAATACACAGATTGAAAAGGGGGGGAAAAGGGGACTGGGTATTGTTAATCAGTCGTTTTCATATAGGGGGCTGCTTTATCAAAACACTGCAACCAGCTGTGTCTTTGATATTCACAGACAGGCGGAGGGGGCACAGGCTTTTGTGCGGCTGTATCTCTTTCAGCTTTTCTGTCAGGCGCTACTGACAAACACCGTGTGGGATGAAACTTGCCACTCGACAAGACTGCCTAATCCTTACAGGCCTGTGCGGAAATCTGAGGATTGAAGATCCCAAGAAGACTCCACACCGATTTCCCTTTTCTTTTTGCTTGTAGATCTTCCCTGAGAGAAGGCCACTTCTCTGTCTAGCTCCCTAGTTTAAGAATGATGCATTCTTTAAATTGGATGAAAAGAACTTTCTATAACAGTACTGTTTACTTTTAGGAGACTAGGAAGACATTTGATTTCTCCTAACCTATTTGTCCTATTAAATAGCAAATAACTAGTGTTTAACCTACGACCTAAGCATAACTTCCCATCTATCTTGTGATTTTGTTGTCTATTAATTATTATAATTATTAATAATTATAACAAAATTTAAAAAGTTTTCTTAAGAAAAAATTAGAATGAGAAAGAGGGCAGATAAAGTATTACAGGTGAAGGCAAAGAAAAAACATCTATTGACTCTGTGAAGTTGTCTGTGCTCAGCTGGGCAGCTATACTCATCGCAAGGTGTTTTTATCCTGTATGTGAAAACATGAATTCCTTATTTTCTCAACTTGAGAAACTCCACAGTTCATTTTTTCTTCCTTGGCAGTTAGGGATTCCTTTGCAGCACTACAATGTGCTCTGAAATAACCTTCAGAATTTTTTATACAAATGATCTCTGTGGATTGAGGTATAGAAAGGATTCTCTATATATAAATTTAATTCACTCGTTTCATAAGATGAACTCTATACTGGACCTTAACATTGAAACTGCAGCCCCCATAAGTTTGAAAAATTCTTAAATAAGAGACACTATTGACACGCTGACTATGTGAATTTGTTAGATAAGACATACAGGAACACTTACCAAAACTAGGCGCACTGTGGAGAGTCATGTCCCTAATGACTCTTGTCCCAAAACAGGACCACATTAGGAGGAACTGTTGAGCGACTTTCTTCAGAGAGCCAGGTTTTTTTCCAGCTACCTAAACAGAGTACAACACGTGCAATTTACATCAGAAAAGATAGAAAAATGATAAACCTCTAGGACATCTTGGGTTGCAGCCCTAACTTAGAAACATGTCAACTATTCAACAATTTAGTTTGCTCCTTTATATTTGTCTTTATTGTCGTGGAAGTGAGGAAAGTTTTCCCTAGAAACCAAGGACAGAACTTTAAAAAAATAAATATGTGCATGGGAACAACTATCAGTTTTGTTTCAGGAGCCCAATCTGTTTTTCATGTGTGCAAATATCTGTGTATGTATTATGATTACACGTCTGAAATTGGTTTCCACATTTTGGAAAACAGTAAAGAGCTTATTATCTGGATTTTCATCACATTAACATGAACTAAAAAGAAACACTAATAATTAACATTACTCTTTGTCTGATTATTTTTCTTTTTTAGTGGTGTAACGTAAAAGCAGAATGCTCTCAGTTATAAATAAATGTTGAAAAGTAAAAAGATTGTTTATACAGTATACTGTATACATCTATTTGCATCAGTTAAAATTACTCATTTATTTTTCTTACTAGGGTCATTTAACAAGAAATTGTTCTTATCAGAATTCCCACATTACATCTCTAATTTTAATAATTGCACTGAAATAATGTTTCTACTCGTTACTTATCCTTAATCCCGCAATTTAAAGTTATATATAATAGAAAGGATAGAAAGGATGATAACTGCATCTCAGAAATCCATTTGAACTAATATCATTCCAACAAAGTCGCACATTCTTATTTATTTTAGATTTTATTAGAATATAATTAAGTCTCAGTTTGTGTCTGGATGTTAGTGTGAGGTAAGAGATAAGGGGAAGATTACATGAGCTTTTAGTTAAACTGACCTTGACAACACATCTGTCTGCCATGGAATCCAGCCACTCTATATATGATTCAATGGGTGACTGCTCCTCTAAAAGATGGTCAAATTCCTGATATACTAGGAGAAAACACCAACACAACACAATCAGCACTAGTTAAGCAGATGAGATCACAAACACACAGCCAATTTGATCACATTCCGCATTCTGTCTGAATTAATTTACAGACTAAACTGAAGACATTCACTGTGATGTGATCCAGTCAATTGATGAGCTAGCCAGGCTTATTCTATGCGCTGGTACCGTACTGAGAAAGTCTTTTGAATTGTTTTCTTGCCACAAACCTAATTTGTAAAATAATTATTATGATGATGATAATAATCCATAAGTGGAGAAGGACAATTGTAAGTTCAAGCTGCAGTAACATGCAAATATTAACCAGATCTGTTAATCTTTTTTGATACTTGACTAAGTGAAGATCTAGAATGAAGCAAATGATGTGTCTTATCCATTTGATATACTGCACTATCAAAACAAAACAGAATATTTTGCCTTTATTATTCTGTTCGGTGGTGTTTCTTTCCTTTGTTTCCTATAGAAGAATGGAAATAACATCCTTTACACAATTCATAGTGCCTAAGGTAGTATTCAGAACGTATCTTTATGCAACAGGATCAAATCATTGCACTTTGACCTTGAGTGGCAAGTTCAGAAGTCAACCCTGAAATTAATTGGAGATGCTCCCTGGGTTGTTAGAAAATAGAAAAGAAACCTTCTTAACCTTTTTAGTCAGTGGTATTAATTTATCATAATTCTCACAGCTTTGCTTTAGTAGCTGTGGGAATTATGATAATGGAAAACAGCTAGTCACCAGCTGAGTTTTATTCTCCATGAGTGAAACTTCAAATGATACACTACTTCTGCCTCATGATTAGGTTTATGCAACTGGATTTTCTGAAAGAATGATTATAGTGTAGGGCTACTCAAAAGGAGTCTCCAATCTGCTCTACTACAAAATTGTGCTCAAGCAGTTCCTTATTTTTATTTGATAAAAAATATTATTTATTTATAAAAATAAATTGAATTGAATTGGATTTTTTAATTACCAATTAGCAGGATCAATAAGGGTCAATATAGCTACAGTACATTTGAATCAATGTGCTGCGATGGAGTAGATTTCACTTTTAGGGGGGAAACTGGTAGATATAAGTAACTTGAAATGAAAGTTTTGTAAAGTTGAAAAAAAGACATGAACATTCTTTCCTCGTTTCAGTTTCTAGAAAAGCATGGTTCATTTTAGCACTGCATTTTCATGTTACAGGACACACAGCAGAGTCTGGGGTATGTATACATACACTGTATGATCATTTTCCTGTGCTCTTCCCGAGAATCCTCCATAGTGTACAGAGTCTGTTTTGTGATGCTGTTCAAATCCACATTCCTCCAGTCCTCCAGCATCTGAAATGTTATATCTGCACTGTGGATTACAGTTCGGGAGGCCTTTAGAAACAACAAGAAAAAAAAGAAATACTTTATGAATGTAGATGTAGACGCAAAGTATGCTGTTTAACTTACATTGTTAATGTTCATTGACTACTCTTAAACATATATGAGCTGTGCATTACAATGCTTAAGAATTAAGGTAGTACACACTGATATAGTGAATTTCTCCCATGATTAATCTTAATCCACATCTACTCCCTTAAAAAAGACATTTCAGGTCTTGATGTTTGACTTGTGAATGTTCCTTATACTTAGATCTCTTGTACTTGAAGTAAGACCTTTACCTATTAAGATTTTTTATGATGCCTTGTAGTTACGATTACATCATTCATGTAAGGGTTTTCAAACAGCACTAGCTTTTCACAGTTCACTTCAATAAGTACCTGGCACAGGTGGTTTAAAGATGTCTGTCTTCTTAGAATTTGAGAAAATCTTCTAGATACTTGAAAACAAAAGAAAAATATAGTCATTACCCAAATGTTCTTTTTGTTGTATTTAAACAGAGCATGTTTGTAATATTTTGGCATTAGTATTATAATATAAAATAAAAAATATGATCATATATTATATAATTATAATTATATTATAGCTATAACTATTATCGTATATTGTTTATGTTACATATTATTATAAATTAATCAAATTAATTTAAAACCTTAAAACTAATTCTGTATAGATATTTAAGATGCAAAATAATCAACAAATAGAAGCAAACAGGATTTTTTTAAAAAAATTAAATACTTTTGCACTGCATAAGAAGTCCTTCTATCATTTCTGAGATAAGTATTTTGAAAAAAAAAGACCCACTAAGACTGACAAGATTATCCCCTGCAGTCTGTCAAAAACTGGGTCTGAAGTCTTAAGTCTGATCAATGTTATTTGAATAATTAGCTGAAAATAACTCTCATGCTCTCACAACTTCTTCAAGGCACAATGTTTTTCACTATTTGAATTCAAAACTGCAAAAACAATTTTATGTAGTTACGTTATTATTTATAATTCTTTTCAATACATAACTTTTTCTATAGGAATATGTTCAAATTAGAGAAACCCATTCAGCTTGTTCAGGTCATTTCATTTTTAGAAGCTAATTGATCTGAGGATATATCCAGCTATGCGTTCAGTTACGATACTTTTTACAGATCAAACTGGGCATCGGTAAACATGACACAGGAATTTAACATGGTGTAAATGCAGGGGTTTGATTCTTTAAATTCACGTTAGGGGAAGAAAATGACTACCGTGCAGCATGACATATGGACACAGTGAATTACTCCAATGCATACATTCAAATTTGATGTTCCTTAGGTTTTCCGGTAGGTCATGCAGAGCCACTTTTAACCACTCATCCAGCTGTTTGGCAAACTTCCGGATCACCTGAGTCAAGCTAAGAGAGAAGAAAACAATAACTCCCTTGATTACTAGATTTGTTTTTATGCTTTACTTTATTTTTTGTGTTGAATGTTTATTGCAGTTTTTGACCCATAAATATGGTCAATATGGTTTCTTTGAACTATTTCAATTTTCATCTCTTTGTGAAAATAAATAATTATAGAGTTAAGAAGAGCTAAGTAAGAGACTTCTTGTAAACTCTGCTCAGTATTATGAAGGGGTTCAACAACACTCTAGAATTACATTTTTTTCAATTGATTGTCTTACTTTGTGGAGATAAATAGAAAGGATTAGGAGACCTAAGAGGTTTGCAAGTCATGTACAGTGTTTCATTTTTCTACATGAAATCCAGGCTCTACAAACGGTCTTACCTAATTTGCTTGCTTGATTTAATTTTGGGGTATATTACATGTTCACTACTCTGAATACCATCATAGAAATACAACCTTCAGTTCCAAATAAAAAGAGAATCTTGTGACTGATTAACAAGGTCTGTAGAAATTCCTCTTATACAATATCTCATATTCATTCCTTTCTGATTTATATACATGTAAATATACAAATATTAAATCATCTTTTATTATTTTTATTAATGTTTGATCATTCTGAACATCACTGTGTTCTATTAAGTAATGTAATTACATGGGAAAAGAATGGACGTCTGAGTAGTGCTACTCTAAACTGATGGCTATTCATCTCGTCCCTAACATGCCAAGTGACAGGTTTGGCGCAGGTCCAGGAGCGAGCTGGAAGGTGACCAACCTGTCTGGTAGAGCTTGTAGGACCGTCGGCATAAGAACTCCTGAAATGGCCTTGTACAGTATGGAGTCACAGACACCGACTATGTTCACGACTGTGGAGGAGCCCAGGACAGGCAACATGTGAGGTGGCATTCCTTGCCAAAAGTGCAGCAGAAAGCTTTGAACCTGCAGTGACATGAAAAACAACAACAACCACCGCTTCAGCAACCTGGGTCGAGGATGACAGTTGACTTCACTTCATTTAGTTTTAAATTAGCTTTGTCAGTAATAATTATATCATTTTTATACAGCGCCTTTTAATGTGGTTTCTCAACGCGATTTACAGACAAAAAAACGCCATTCACAGTGGGAAGAGATTAAACAGTTACAGTGAGGGTTTGGAATACAGAATGAAAGCAAAGGGGCAGACAGAACAAGTTAAATAAAAGCCCTCCTAAAATGAAGGTTCCAAGTCTTGATTTGAAAGAGCACAGGTAAGGTCACTGTCTGAGTTCCAGAGCTTTGGGGCACAACAGGAGAGGACCCCATCACCTACAGAGTTTAGACAGGCTTGGGGGACAGACAGGAGACCAAAATACTACGGTTCCAAGCCCTTATAGGTGAGCATGATGGTTTTGAAGTCGACACGAAACCTGATAGGAAGCCAGTGATAGGAGTAATGTGATCACAGGATTCTGGCTGCTGAAGTTTGTTCACTGTGAAGTTAGATACCCCACAAGCAGTGGATTACAGTAATAAATTTGAGAGAAAACAAATGTGTTGACCAGTTTTTCAGCAACATTTAACAACTTAGGACATACATTTCTGAGGTGGAAGAATGATGTTTTACATGTGGTTCAAACACCAAGCATGGATCAAATATTACCCACAAGTTCTTCAATTTACATTGAAACTCAAGTAAAGTACCATCCCCATGGTTACTGGGTTAATGGGTTACTGAATTAGTTTTAAGATCACTTTATTGGTCAAATACAATTTCTTGTATTAGGAATTTGACTTTTCGCATACCCCAACTTGCTCTCCATGAGACACACAGACAGGGAGAGAGAAGCTGGGGGTCAGAGCGCAGGGTCAGCCATTTATACAGCGGCCCTGGAGCAGTTGGGGTTAAGGGCCTTGCTTAGGGGCCCAACGGAGTAGGATTCCTCTGCCGGCCGCAGGATACGAACCGGCAACCTCCCAGCCACAGGCGCAGATCCTGAGCCACAGAACCACTGCTCCTCCCAAATACACATGTTTGTTGAGTGGTGCCAAGCAGCATGGCTTCAGCCTTGTCACAGTTTAAATGAAGGAAATTTGGATTCATCCATATGTTTGTGTCAGAGATGCAATTAGAGAGAGCAGAGGCAGTCACTTCAGTGTCAGGTTTAGTATGGATGTAGATTTGAGTGTCATCAGCATAGAAATGATCATTTAGACCATGTGTTCTTCATAGTGGGCCAAGTGGGAAAGGAATTTAAAAAAATGTGAAAATAACCACACACTCTGGAGAGTCTCGAAAGAATCAATGATCTTTCATGGGACTGCTATGCCACTGAACATGTTTCGCTGCAGAAAATTGAATTGTCTACATTTTCTAGCAAAGAGGCTAAAGAAAAACAACAGACCTACCTCATCGAAATTTGCCCGTATTACAGTATCAAGAATCCTTTGACAGTGGGTTCTGTACATCATAATGAATGTAGAAACCTGTGTGAGAAAAACACATTTTGCTGCTGTTAAGTTCCTGTTTGGCAGGTGGCTACTTCATATGTAACAGTTTCTTGAAGGCATCTCGAAAGCACTACATTAACATTTTTCTTTTTATAGGTCTGCATTACCCAACTTTAAGTTATATCTGAAAATGTAAAATGTTATTTATATGAAGAAAATGCTGAGTACGTATTCAATATTATTATTATATTATTCTATACTAATTTTGCAAGCTAAATCCAGCGTTAGACTTCACCATGAGCGTGACATACAGTATAGAATATGTACTCTGAGGGTTTATAGTGTCATGACAAAAAGAATAAAAACCTCTGCCCTAGGAAATGAGTTGTGGCCTACACAGAAACACAAGACGAGGCTAAACAGCATTGGTGCGCAACTTAAGAAAGTTTGTACCTAACCCTTGCACAGCCAGGCTCCAGCACAGAAGAAAAGCGGTGAAGAAAGGCAGGCAAGCTGGGTATTTAAAAGTCTGTTTACCTTCTCCTCTGGCAGACTTGCTGGCAGATTTAGATCTTTGACATTTGGAAACTCTGGCAGTAGAGTTCCCAGTTTGGAGCGTGGTGAATATGCCACTGTCTGCTTGGTGACCTCCTTCTTCCCTGTGTCGTTTACCCAGGCTGCCCCTTTCTTGGAGTACATCACATCGTAATACTGGGAGCTCTCTTTCACCGCGATCCCGTAGTAATGGTACCTTGGGGAGAAAACCGTGTGTGTCTTACGGGCGCAAGAATGAGAGGTCTTAACAGGTTCAATATCTGAGAAGCCCTACAGAGTAAAGGTGAGGCAAATGTTGAGAACAAAGAGAGGTTTTACAGAAGAGAGATCATTTTGGGGGGGGTTAATTTTTGGTCAATTGAATGAACTGTATTAAAAGAAGAGTTTCACCAGGTTGAAAAAGGGGTTATTTTACTGATCGTCCTGTGATTCTTTGGAAATTATCTTCTTTTTTAATTAAAGTTATTTATTTATTAATTATCTTACCATCTAGAAACTGTAAATTTGTCATTTTTTTATTTTAATGCTCTCATTAAAAAATTCCATAGTCTGTTTCTCCTGTCTTGTCCTGCAGTGCCCCATTAACTAATATTCCCTACTGAGGACAGTGCCTCCAGTTGGAATTTAAAATGCCTTTGTTCGTGACTCAAAGTAAGCATTAGTTTTATTATCAGAAGAGAGAAAAATACCACATGAATTGCAGTGAAAACCCAAAGCATATTCCTATATAAAAGCAATCCAAGTCTCACAAAGTCAGGTCTTTTCCTTAGTGTTGTACTGCAGCGAATGGATAACACAAGGGACGTCTATCCCACATCGGTACTTCAAATCGCTTTCCGAAGTGAAGCCCTTCACGCAAGTGGAATGGCTTCTATATTGCATTGACCTGCCTGAGTGGAGAGGATGAAGGAGTGAAAGACAGAGTGTGGTTTATACTCACTTTGACTGCCCTCTTGTCCCCAGTCTTCTTGTAGTTAGTTGTGGGAACTGCTGTCTTATTATCTATGCATATGAGAAAAATGGTTGAACAGTGAATCTGTGGAGACAAACTAGGTCTAAAGATCTTTAACCCAATTGCAAGGTATGACCAATAATCATCAGCAGCACTATATTTGATTACTATGTCTTGTTTGCTAGTGGCTCCCTCATTCTGCTCAATGGAAACTCACCACCATGTGCTTTTTTTGTCATTTCTAAATGGCAGGAGGTTTGAATATTTTAGTTCAGATCTGCTGATATCATCTGATAAATCATCTATTATACATTCTATCATATACAGTATATTATGTATTTTACCAAAGCATCACACATTCACTAAAACAACAGGAAAAGAGCCTTTTCATTTTTACCTCCATATAGCTCAAATCTTTATGCTACACTGTTTAGAAACACCTCAGATAACCACTGCAAGTAATAAAATCACATACATGTGTATGTTATTGACCCCATTGGTTAACTGAGGAAAAAATCCTGTGCACGTAATTACTGAGATGTAAATAATAATAATTTACTATAATTTTAAGTCTTAAGTGTATGCTCCTAAGAAAACAGTTTTAAAAATATGTTTAACTGTGCTTCTTAGATGATAAATATGAAACAGACTAATAGGCTGCTAAATCTGAGAGAACTGTTAAGTGTTTTATTAATCTTTAGTCTCATACTGAACAAACAAACTGAACTGAACAAACAAAAAAAACTTTAATATGTTTATTTTTTTTTTAACTATACGGATTTTTGAATAGACATAATGTGTTAATTCTGGAAATGAGAAACTTGAAGATTGACCTCAATGTGGGTCAAAAACCTTTGTCAGCAATTCTTTTAGACAGGTGTGGGATATTATTTTTACTTCTAGATTTTGGCAAGTTTTAGAAATGTCTGTAGGCTTGGGCCAGACTCTGCTTGCTTCAATTCGTGGTGCAAAACTTTAGCAAATAGTCAAGCTTTCTATTGTTCAAAATAAAAAAGGAGAGAGCTGTGAAGTTTCTGTCCGGCTGTTTGATAAATGAGCAGACAGGGAGGCAGCCCTCACACTTTTTGTCCTGAGTCAATGAAGCTTTCCTAAAGGACACCCCATGCTGTTCCAGCTACTGATCTAACATTCCGCAACATCTCGGCCTTCCAAATTCCCTTTAATTAGACATTAATCCCAGCCCCTCTCTTTTTCAATATCCTCAGACAGGAGGCTGGAGGGGGGCGGAGGTTGGGGAGCTTCACAGGGTTGTGGGAACAGAAACAGCCGCACTCAGCCCAGTTTTATTTGGAATTTGAACTGTGCATTATTTAATATTGTCTCTCCAGCAGGAATCCGAAAGGAACGTCATCAACTTATCAACACTCCCTCTTTTCAAATAGTTGGTACCTACAGTAGCTTGTTTACAAAGGTAGACATGATGTCAGTTTATTGGTTTATTTTTTTAGGGGTGGGGGAGTAAATGCTTCATAACTGTATTTATTATGTATTTTTGTATTCTATCATGGCTCTAAGCACATTATTGAAGAAAGTGTATTGAATAAAGAAAACTGAGTTTACATTTCAAAACTCAATTGTAATTTGCTTCCTAGTTTGGAGTACTGCTGCTTTATCAAAAAATGACACATTGTAGATTGAGCAGCTTTAGCGTCCATTCATCCAATGATGAGCACAGGCATCTCCCTAAAACTACATTGAACATCCTCCATGCAGTTGAAATGGAATTTTCTCTAGTGCTTAATACATTTCTTTTATTCTTTTTTTTTGTTTGCATTCTATTTAAATGTACAGGAGTGCTGTGTATCCATAAAAAAATCCCTCAGGGGACAATAAAATCTTATCTTGACAGATACGGTCAGGGAATTGTTAGACTCAAATGATATGTCAGTACTATGTTGGTACTAAGTCTAACATGAATCCTTTAACAATACTGCTTTAAAAAGTAATGAAAGTCAGACGTATTATGTCACATGGTCATGAACAGACCTTGTCTTTAGGATTCAGCAGCAACACTAAGAGAATTGTGTCTGCTGGAGTTCATAAATGACAGTGGCATAATAAGAGACTCAGCGAGAACTTCCTTTTACCATATTTTTCAATGGTGTTTCTGCCATTTTGTTTTGTAGCTCATTCCAAAAAAAATCCTGCTCATCCTGAAAAGCATTCTTCAAACACTCTGCAGATCAGACAACATGCCAGGCATGCTTTCAGGCCAGTGCGCCCCTGCTGTAAATGAAAAAACTGAGCCATTCCAAGATCAAAGGCTTATTATCTGTTGATTGAATGGGAAATTATCAAGGAGTATCACTCCAGTGTGAGCAGACCAATAGGCTACTGTACTTGCAGAGCAGATAATATATCCTGCCATCAGTCAAAAGTGACACATATGTCATGAATCCTAAGCCATTTTTAAATGATTGTAGCGTTTCCGACTTTACGGCTGATTTCTGTGCAAAAGATGCACATTCATTCATCTCTTCACTGCTTTGCACAAGTTTATCCAAGTGAAGGAGCACATGTGTGATGTCTGTGTAAAATGGAAAAAGTATTTGGGACAATGTAGAGTCAGCTGTTAGCAGCAATAACTGCAAAAACAATTTTAAAAAAGTGCACATTGACATTAAAAATGTCACAAAACAGTGGGTATTAATTTCACAAATGTTGGATGTATCATACCACTAGAAAATGCATGTATCATTGCCACAAAATACTGGCAAATGTTTTATGTGTATATACTTGAATATATATTAAGAATATCTATTTAGAATGAAAGGTACTGATGTAAACTAGAGTCCTTTGCCATTGTTGATGAGTTGGTTATGTGTTTTCTAAATCACATTTGTATTAGGAACTTGTGTATTAGTGGCAGTGCTGTACTGCATGATGAAACTTTGCTGTGCTATTTGACTTTTACCTAAGCAGTTCACCAAAGTGTTGCATTTTGTGGATGTTCCTTTTATTCTTCTTTGTTAAACCTTAATGCAGTCTGTGTCCTAGAGCATCGCATTCAATATTGAATTGACAGTGAGTTATATTAATTTAGTAAATAAATAAACCCATAAATAAATCCATGCAACAAGTTCAGTATAAACATCTTTTCATTTTATTGCTTATTTATGGAGTTATCCATTACGATTGTGGGATTCCTGCATTTTTTACCCTTAAATGTGCCATTGTTTTTTTCTCATCTGAATGTTGAGTTCTTCAGATTGGGTGTATTCAGGGAGACCTGTACATGCAGGCTTGGTTGGTAGCCACTGACTGTTTATAAGGGGATATCTTTTTCAGTACAACCTTGTTTTAAAAGAGCTTCATTTTTTAAGCTTTCAGGTTAGTTATGGTTTCGAAATACCATGCAGTTCATGTTAAACATGCATTGAGAACTAGGCACTGAGCTCTTGTAACATGTTTTAAACTCCCAGCCAAAGCTTTCTCAGCCCACATTTTATAGACATGCCAAAGAGCTCTTTTATTCTGCTTCACCTAAACCCAAGCATTATAATCACTGCCAAAGAACCTATTTATTGATGCTTAGCTGCAGCCAAGTCTTATAAACAGACTAAGAAGCTTTATGTAGCCAACCACTTACAAGAATTCCATGTATGCCAGTTTTATCTTTCTGAAGCTGGCACAAACAACAGAGCAAGTGTAGCCTATTGTGTAACTTGGGCAAAACTCAAATCGTACCTTTCCAAAGCTTGCAGCGTTGACAGGCTGTGTGTCATTCTTCTCACAGAAGTCCAGGTAATGCATGTACAAGGCACTTCGAGGAATGCACACACCCTCGGCAATCTCGTAATTTTCTTCCAGCCTTCAGTACAAAAGAGATCAGGTTGTCAGTCTTGCAAATGACTTGTTATCCATCCTTCTTGCTCCGCGGCAAGGTGCTGGAAAACGATTCTGATCTATCCAATCAGAATCAGTCAGAAGGTCCCATTTTAAATTGGAAAATTGGTTTTCCTGTGGACTATTAATGTTGAATCCTTCTTAAGAATGCGAAGCATAAAAAAGAAGAGAATGTCATTTGGCCCACCTAACACGTTTGGTTGTCTGTACTTAATTGATGAGAGCATCTCATCCAGTTGTTTCTTAAAAGAAACCAGGTTATCACCTTCAGCAACTTTATCAATGCATTTGATTTTACTTGGATCAGTTCCCCTCATCATCATCTCTGTTTAACAACAAAAGGATCACTAATTTTACCCTGTCAGTGTAGACATTTCTTTAAAGCTGCGGATGTATCTTGTTTATCTTGTCTTTGATTCCAGAGAATCAACACTTTTTTACAATGTGGTGACCAAAATTGTACACAATATTCTAAATTAGTCATACTTGTGCATTGTGCAACTTTGACATAACATTCCTTAAATATTAAACTTTTAGCTATATATTATAACATTAATTTAGCCTTTCCTATTAGTTCCCCAAAGTGTCTAGAAGACGTAAATTATGTCAATATAAATAAGTATTTTTCTTAAGTGTGTTTCTCAACTTATGTGTTTACATTTTTTTACTTACATGAAACACTTTGCACTTGTCTACACAAAATGTCATCTGTCTTGAATTTTATCTAGATGTTTTTGAATTGCTTCTGTCACTTCTGTGATTAGTATTTGGTAATCCTTCTATTTTGGAATAATATGCTAATGATTTTGCTAATTTGCATTGGTATAATTTGTTTGACTAATTTGCTAGCTGTACCAGAATCTAGATTACTGATATATTTATTCACTGATATCCTGATAGAGATACCTGTACGGTATGGTATTCCACTATTAACATCAGACCCAGTCTTATCTCTCACGCTTTATCTGCTGTACTATTCATTAACACATTCCAAGTCTAAAATTATTAATTAAAAAGTTAATAATATGTGGTGTTGAAAATATAGCAATATAACAACAACATTGAAAATATTATCCATCCAGTACAGGGCCAGATCTATTATGTGTCAACATAGACACCTAAGCAAGACTTAAGGTCTCTAAACCCTTTATATTTCCATGTAGGTCATCCTCTAGTTTTATTCTAATTATTGTTTCTATAACCTTACCTATAACAGACATCAGATCTATTTGTGTATAATTACTTGGTTCAGTTTTTTTCACCTTTTTGTGGATATGTGTTACATCGGCAATTCTCCAGGTTTAAGCAGCTGCTGAAGGAGTTGCGTCAGTGGCTTACGAATAACACCCTTTGTTTTCTTAAGTACAACTGGTAGGACACCGTCGAGCACTGGAGATTTATTAATCTTGGCCTTTTCACCTTCTCAGAACACTTCTGCCTGTTCTATGCTAATGCCACAGCGCTCGGTGCTCTGAGCAAGCTGCTGGTGGGACCTCACTCCCGTCTGAAATCTGGGCAGCGTAGAACTCGACCACAGCAGAGGAGTGGTCTTCTGGCACGGCCCAGTTCATCTCTGTCCAGGGGACTGTGCAAGCAGCTGGGGTCAAATCCCAGCAGTGACAGCGAGAGGTGCACTCATCACACTATTAAAAGAACCTCTCCCTGAGGTACATCATTATCTTACTTAGTGACTCTCTGTGGTCATTAAAAATCCCAGGGCGTTTCTCGATAAGAGTAGGGGTGTTACCCCCCTGTCCTGGCCAAATTTCCCCCTGGCCTTTACCACTCATTGTCTCCTAAAAATCCCCATCTCTGAACCGGCTTCATCACTCTGTTCTCCTCCCCACTGAGAGCTGGTGTGTGGGGAGCAGACTGG